TCCTCAGCTGGCCAAACTAGGCTAAAGATCGGTCGCTCCACGACAATGCACCGACCTATATATGCCACAACATGCGCCATTCTAGAAAACATAGTTAGACAACAAATGGTTTCTCATTCTAATCCATTTTAGGTGGGGATCTGCTTGTCCATCTATGTGGGGATCCGTATAGAAATTCTATGTGGGTCACCAATGGAAGACCCTACGCTACTTGCGGATCTCTATTGGACACCCCTTGGATTTAATTGTCCCTTCCAGTTTAATCCATAGCATCCCGTAGCCGTCTATGGTGAGGTGGGCAATTGTGGAGCATGGAGAACTCCAAGCGAATGGGCTGAAATGCATGGCCAGGTGAACTCTCCCCTCAACCTCTGGCCCTAGGAGAAGCTTGCACCTTCAAAATTCGAACAAAATGAACCCAATAGCTTCCTTTCAGATCTTCACCCTCTCAGTTTGATGGTAGTACTTTCTTCCACCTGCATCCTCACCCAGCACCATGCGTTTCTGTCTTTACTGAAGCTCCTGTGGACACCACCGTCCACGTCTTTACGCTACCAAGAGGCCAAGTAGTAATAGATGCGGTGCAGTTTCCGCTCCACCAAGTTCTCTACCTGTTCTTCGTGACGAACGCAACGCACGCACGACCCCAGGAGACCAGCGGAGGCACGTTCGAGGCACAGGTGGATGCGGCTCGTCTCAGATGAGGAGGGTCGGGCTGGGGCCTCCAATCAATTGGTAGACAGTACTCGGAGGAATACTGAGAGGTTACAGTATCAATGGGCTAGAGTGCCAACTCAGATTCACCCCTTGCTATCAGTCATAGGCCTTTGTTGACATCATCTGCCTGGATTTACTTGGCCCTTTACAAATTGGCACCGTAGGATCAAGCATGGTGTCATGACGTTGATGATGTGCGCAAGAGCCCAAATTCCAGCCAAGGTGCATCTTTGGTATTTTCCTTGACGGGCCTAAGATCACGTGAGCAAATAGGCACTGGAGAAAAAAAAATCAACAAGGGTTCTTTGCCTGCTCTCTGCATATCTCTGCCTGCCTGCTGCGACAACTTGTGGCCCAGAGGGGGGTGGCGAAAGCTAGGGAAAGAAACAACGCTGGGGCTCTCTAGGCAGCAAAAGCCTGGCCGGGAATCGCAACATGCCATGGCCAAGGGAAAAGGAGAGTGCCAACAGCGCCCCTTCAATACGACCCCAACACAGCCAACACATGGTAACACACAACCACCCCAGCAACCGCAGCTGCCACAACAACAATAACTGTAACCAGCAGCGGCAGCGGCAGCAAGCAGAGCAGAAGCAGCAGCAGGAGTAGCTAGCAAGCAGCAGCACCAGCTACCAAGCAGCAGCAGCAGCAACCAAGCAGCAGCAGCAGCTGCTAAGGAGCAGCACAAGCAACAGCTACCAAGCAACAGCAGCAGCACCTACCAAGCAGCAGCAGCAGCAGCAGCTACCAAGCAACAGCAGCATCAGCTACCAAGCAGCAGCAGTAGCAGCAGCTACCAAGCAGCAGCATCAGCATCAGCAGCAGCCACCAAGCAGCAGCAGCAGCAGCTACCAAGCAGCAGCAGCATCAACAGCAGCTACCAAGCAGCAGCAGCAGCTACCAAGCAGCAGCAGCAGCTACTAAGCAGCAGCAGCAGCAGCAGCTACCAAGCAGCACCACCAGCTACCAAGGAGCAGCAGCAGCAGCAGCAGCAGCAGCAGGGAAAGAGTGAGCTTTCCTTAGAGCCTTTCGCGCCCCAACATTTGGTCTCGAACAATAGCACATATAGGTGCTGCCTGAGTAATTGTAGAAGGGCGACGTGGAAAGACAGATATATCTTATATATCTGTTGTTTCCACGAATAAATGCTGACGATGCAGCCAGCAGCGGTGTGCATGATTGACATCTAGGGTTGCATGCGAACATGTGTCAGCGACCGAAGACTCCTTCGCAACGCTTGTGCATGCTCCCTGTCGCTCGAACATGGAACGCGGACTATGAGTGAAGCAAACAGCCCGTTCAAACATCTGACTGGGTTCTGTCATTCATGTGTGTAGTAAGAATCATCTTTTGATCTGCATGGATAGCGGATAGTGCATTCTGATTTGTACTCTTTGGGGTTGTGGGGTGGGTACATGCCTGTACAAGCTTCTTAAGGATATAATGAAATTAGCATCGTTTCACGACTCAGAGGGAATGCAACTACCCTCGATTCTAAAGAATAGGCTTTCTAGAGCACCAACAGCAGCCAACCAGCAGCAGGCAGCCAGCATCCAGCAGCAGCAAGCATGCAAGCAGCAGCAACCAGCAAGCAGCCAAGAGCCAGGCGCAGATGAGATGCCGGCAGCAGCAGCAGCGACCAAGCAGCAGCAGCAGCAGGTACCGAGGAGCCGAGGAGGAGAAGGGTGGAGTTGAACCCCGCGGGGGCGGGGGGGGTGTCTAGTCCTGATATATCAGGTAACAGCACCCAGGTCCTGGGCCCACCCTCCTTGCTAAAGCAAGACAGACTCCTAGCTAGCTACAGCTAGCTTTCGTGACATGGCAACACACAACCACCCCAGCAACCGCAGCAGCAGCAGCAGCAACAGCCACAACAACAATAACTGTAACCAGCAGCGGCAGCGGCAGCAAGCAGAAGCCACCAAGCAGCAGCAGAAACAGCAGCAGTAGCTAGCAAGCAGCAGCACCAGCTACCAAGCAGCACCAGCTACCAAGCAGCAGCAGCAGGAGCAGCTACCAAGCAGCAGCAGCAGCTACCAAGCAGCAGCAGCGGCAGCTGCTAAGCAGCAGCAGCTACCAAGCAGCAGCAGCAACAGCTACCAAGCAGCAGCAGCAGCAGCTACCAAGCAACAGCAGCATCAGCTACCAAGCAGCAGCAGCAGCAGCAGCAGCAGCTACCAAGCAGCAGCAGCATCAACAGCAGCTACCAAGCAGCTACCAAGCAGCAGCTGCAGCAACAGCCACAACAACAATAACTGTAACCAGCAGCGGCAGCGGCAGCAAGCAGAAGCCACCAAGCAGCAGCAGAAGCAGCAGCAGTAGCTAGCAAGCAGCAGCAGCAGCGGCAGCAGCAGGAGCAGCTACCAAGCAGCAGCAGCAGCAGCAGCAGCAGCTACCAAGCAGCAAGCGCAGGGAAAGAGTTAGCTTTCCTTAGAGTCTTTCGCGCCCCAACATTTGGTCTCGAGCAATAGCACATATAGGTGCTGCCTGAGTAATTGTAGAAGGGCGACGTGGAAAGACAGATATATCTTATATATCTGTTGTTTCCACGAATAAATGCTGACGTTGCAGCCAGCAGCGGTGTGCATGATTGACATCTAGGGTTGCATGCGAACATGTGTCAGCGACCGAAGACTCCGTCGCAACGCTTGTGCATGCTCCCTGTCGCTCGAACATGGAACGCGGACTATGAGTGAAGCAAACAGCCCGTTCAAACATCTGACTGGGTTCTGTCATTCATGTGTGTAGTAAGAATCATCTTTTGATCTGCATGGATAGCGGATAGTGCATTCTGATTTGTACTCTTTGGGGTTGTGGGGTGGGTACATGCCTGTACAAGCTTCTTAAGGATATAATGAAATTAGCATCGTTTCACGACTCAGAGGGAATGCAACTACTCTCGATTCTAACGAATAGGCTTTCTAGAGCACCAACAGCAGCCAACAACCCCAAACAGCAACAACAGCAGCAAAACGGAGCAGACAACAAGCAGCAGGCAACCAGCATCCAGCAGCAGCAAGCATGCAAGCAGCAAGCAGCAGCAACCAGCAAGCAGCCAAGAGCCAGGCGCAGATGAGATGCCAGCAGCAGCAGCAGCGACCAAGCAGCAGCAGCAGCAGGTACCGAGGAGAGAAGGGTGGAGTTGAACCCCGCGAGGGGGGGGGTGTATAGCCCTGATATATCAGGTAACAGCACTCAGGTCCTGGGCTCCCACCCTCCTTGCTAAAGCAAGAGCTAGCTACAGCTAGCTTTCGTGATGACCCGGTGCTCGCCAACTCAGGGCAGAGACCACTTGTAACGTTGTAGCATCTTGTAATAGATATGGTAGATTCCAACCTTCTTCCAGCAATTCGTTCCGCAACCTTCTTGGGGCCTTCCGCGGAGATCCGAGCATGCCCGGGCATGCCCGGGACTCGGCGGGGACCACCGGCCGGACCGAGGAGCTTCTTGAACTTCACCGCGTTGAACATCTTCGGCATCATCGCGGAGACCCGCACCTGGGTGAGAAGGTGCGGGTGAACTCCAGGGGAGCAGAATGGTGTGCGTTTTGTGGTTGTGGATGGGTCATTGAGGTCAGTGAGGTAAGTTTTTTGGAGTACTTAGGGGCACCTAAAAGTATCTAAAAGTAACAGCTGCAAAATTTTGAGAGCAAGGTTGTCCTTGGGGGTGATAAGTGTAATGTAGATCTTTCAAAGGAAACGCAGCTGGCTTGTGCTGGACGAACGTTGGAATTTACCACGCACTTCCCCAAGAATGGGGTCGCTCCCCCCTGACCATCCTTATCAACATCAAAAGTTAGGCCCGGCTCCAAGTAGTTCCTTCATGTCCAAAGCGCACACTAAGTGGTGAACGAAGAGTTGGCATTCGAACCTGCTTTTACTAAGTGGTGTCATCTGCCCCCGTGAACTGGCACTGGAAGAAGGATTGCTGTACCTCAAAAGGGGTACTAGAATATATATATATATATAGGCCATACATGCCCATAACTATTTTGGCACATCTTATCACCAGTGAGCATACCTGCAAGATCCTGCAAGTCATCTTGCTTGTGCCAATGCTCGGTGGCATGATATTGACTGGTTGGATTTCCCAAGCCAACCAACGTCCACCCTGCCGTTCGAGGTGCCATGCGGGTGAAGCGGTTTAGCCGTGTCGCCTGCAGTGGCCAAGGCGACGAGATCTCGCCATCCAATGTGAGACATGTTCCCCGAGGATGTGCGATAATTTACGTACCAACTTCATGACCGCATCTTCCAAAGGCACCTTACTTGAAACATTTTGACGCCACCTTCCGCCGGGCATGAAACCACTTGGCGGGAATGCACAAGGCTCACAATATACAGTAGGTAGATGGTTGTTCTTCTGATGGACTCCTGTTCCCTTGCGACTCCGTAAGCTACCGGGGTGGAGCTGCGTCCAGCATGCAGCACATTGCCCCTATTTCAAAGCGCACAAGCTCCAGTGGTCTAACAACGTGGAGCCATGTTTAAACACGAGGCACAATACAAGCAACTGCTGATCATGGAGTGTTGGCCTAATCTCTCAACAGCTTGGCAGCTGGATGCAATTTCGGCTTTCCAGGGCTTGTAACCTTCCGCTTGGCAATGGCGTTGTCCAAACATCGTTCGGCAAAGAGTCAAAGAGAAATCCATGGCGACTTTATGAGTGCAGTCCTAGTGCTGCACGACTTCTAGGTGCGGACTGCAGCTGAATTAGGGCTTTTTCAGGCCCTCATTATCAGGGGCCCGATTGTAGCACCTTGGCTTAGCAGCCGCCGAAGTTGAATACGCAGCTTGTAGCATCTTGATATCAAATTCTGCTTGGCATGTTCTTCTTGAAGGCCTTGCAGCTTTGCATCCATTTCAGCAATAACGGCTTGATTGGGCTTGAGGGCGGTCCGTCGGCGCCTCAACAGTCCCTGTATCTGCTTGATTTCTTTGGCGCGGGCAGCGCCTGCTTCATCAAGCCTGCGGTAGACACCTTGGTTTCCATTCAAATTGGACACAGCTTCTCGGATCTCATGGTGATTCTGCAAGGTCAACGCCATACTCAGCTCGGCTTGCCGTCTCTTTCGCATCAGCCCATGTGACAGCAGCTTGTCCAAGAACTGGACAGCTTGACTGAAGTGGGTACATCTCAAGTCCCATCGATGAGTGCCTTCACAAAGGACCCATCGGTTGAAGCCTTGTGACCGCAAGAAGGCATGAAGAATCTTGAGAATGTAAGGGTTCACTTGCGACAAAGACAAACACAAATGGGCATCCGTAGCCCGAACGGAAATGCTTCCTTCTGCATCAAAAAATCCCGCGGCATATGACCAAGAGCATGCCAGGACCGCGCTAGGTGTGTGATCACACTGCTTCAGTAAAGTGAGGTTTGAAGCTACCCCAGCTCGTAGTTGGGTTGGAATGGGCCCCTGCACTGCAACATTGAGTTGTGCTTGCTTCATGGATGGCAAGCTACTAAGCAAACCCGCGGCTTGGATTCCGGTAGTGCTGGATGCTTGCCATTTCAACGATGCTTGGTGGAGGCCTGTGGCATCACGCTCACGATAGATCCCCCCGCCCAACATCTGTCGAAATCGAACCAGAACGCCAGCTCCATCGAGTGCTTGTGAAACCATGAGGCGTATGCACCCATCTCGCATGAACATGGTGACGCAACCGTCTCCATCAAAAAATCCACGCAAATATTCAAGTTCCGTATTTGAAGGTTGCATCGCCGGAGCAGCCATCCTGACCGGAAGCCGATAGGTGGTGCCATCGACTTCAAACTCCTCCAGGCGAGGGCACTTGACTCTTCTCAGCAGCCCCTCCAAGCGATCACAGCGCCTCTGCCAGCCGCTCAGGGAACATATTGCAGAGTATTGGGCGGTTTGCCCTAAACAGTACCAAGAGCTCGGGTTAGCAAACCGCTGACATGAGCGCGCCAGTGTCAGCATCGCTCAAGGGGCAGCGTCAAACGTGCTCATCTTGACACTTGGGTGTCAAGTCGCAGCTGGCCGGCGCGAGAATCATGAAAACGTGTTGAGACATCTTTTCCGAGTTGAAGCGTATTTGCCCTGAATCGGGGCAATAATGAAAGAAAACAAACACCCAAGTGAGTTGCGGTGGTCTGGCTTTGCTGCTAGCTGACCACATAAAGGGTCTGGATGTGTATATTGTATATATATATAGCTCCCTTTTGGATCACCACGCAGCTTTCAAGCCACCACCTCGTGAAACAAACAATATACAAAAAAACAGCACCTTGCAGTCTTGCAGGAACACCCGAACAATTCGCCACGAATCCACCCAGCTGCCCAACATCCTCTTCCATGTCTCCCACTAACAGGCCATTGGTGCCTTGGAGGATCTCACCACCAGGCGAATGGCCTGGCATCGCAGAACCCACTATGAGCATTGCTTGGAGCGTCCCCGGCCTCGTACCCAGAGCGGCTACAATTTGTGTCACTGCTTCTTGAATCAATTATATGCATAATCACAGTATATCAATGAAACGCTTTCTACTGCAGGTCCTGCAGTCCTGCACGCTCATGAAAATGAGGCGCCTAACTAAACAAAACCTACGATGGGCGAACGATTTTCTTGGCTGGCATTACTGTGGGCAACCCTTGGAAGATTAGTTTGCTCACATTCTGACACATGTTGTGGATTTTGCTTTTGGGTGGTTCCATTTTTGGCTTCTCTTCAGCACCGTTGCCGTCCAATGCTTTCACATCACCCCCGCTCCCACCAACACTCACTCTGCCAGGGCTGCCTTCATGAGGCGTGTGGAGCGGCCGGCGACCAACATGTCGCTGTCGAAGAGCTGCTGAACGAACCAAGTCTCTGGCAGCAGGGAGATCCTCGAAAAGAGACCGCTCACACGTTGGCAGTGAATGTGGAGGTGACGATTTCAAGGCATTTGGGCAGAGATTGTAGACAAAGAATCTAACCGTCTCTTTACTTTGCATCAGATCACATGCATCAAATGACAGATCAACACCTGCACCGCGGTTGCTTCAATGTCTATGTGTGTGCCTCAATCTCGGCGGCTGGTTTCGTTGCATTCTTCGTCCGAGTGGCAGCGCCACGATGTCCAGCCAGAAAAATGCTCTGCCAAAGTAGCCGGCTTTGAACAAGCCTGCAAATGTTGATGCCGTAGTGGGTCCCACCACAATCAAAATCTCCAAAATGTGTCTGTCGCTCCCTCATCGCCCTCACATGTCTCTCTCGCCAGCGTTTTTGGGAGGGCTGAGTGATAAGTGTAAGCCCACCCTCCGCTCCCTATCATTGATAATATATGATAATTTTAATCCAGTGGTTGAGGCCAGCTTGCCAGTGCATAACCTCCCATCAATCCCATTCCAGCGACCAGCCTTGCAAGATCAATTCCTGAGTCTCACATGGGGGCGTGGGCGCATGTATATAGGCGCAAACACCCCAGCATGCAAGCTTGCTGTTTGCCAAATCATTTAAATCAATCTGAGGGTTGAATCGTAGAATCGTAGCGCCTATTTGGTTGTCCTCCTGTCCATTTCAGCTCAATAAACGCACTGACCAGCTCCAACATCCGCAAAACATCTGACATCTTCACATCCCTGATGGCACTCTGTTGAAAGCCACTTTCTCTGGCATTTGACAGCCTATAGGACTCAAACTTAATTCCGCCGAGCGTCGATCAAGAAGAGGCCAAAGACCACCGTGGTCACGATGCTCAACACGAATCGGGACTGAACGGTGCCAAAGATGGTGTCCAAATCCTGGGCGAAAAGGATGTCGAAACACACTGAAGTTAAGGTGCTCAAGCATCAACATTGAATCTTGAAACTGTTCTAGACCTAGGCGGCACAGCTGTGATCAAGCCGAGTGCAGAAGGGAAAATGCATGAAACTTACAGTAATGCTTTTTGAAGTTGTTCCTATTCACCCAATTGTTCTGGCATTGATCAATGAATTTCTTATAAATAGAGCAACTCACACTCCAAAGTCTTCCAGGACCAATGGCAGCAGGTTGAGGCAAAAGGGAGTGAACACCTTCATCCTTCCAAGCGTGACAGCAACCAGTTGGAAGGCTCTTTGCCTCCTTACAACAAACGTTTTTTTGGGCGCTGCTTGAGACGGCGAACATTCTGGACCTCGCACAACGCAGGACCCCTCAGTCCCCTCAGGCATCCTCAGACCATCCCCGCCTGCGCAAAGAGAGCATAGACCTGTGCGACGAGCGACGAGCGACGCGCGATGCCCCCGTTGGGATGGAACAAAAACTATACCGAACAAACCTCTTGGGAATCCGTCTGGCTGGGGGTGCTTAGGCTACTGGCTAGTCCAAAGGCTGAAGAAGCCTGTGGAACCCTGGGTTGGCCAGGCAACGGCAACGGTCAAATGCCAAACCAAAGTTGGCAACCCGAGCAATTACGTCAAACCATCATAAGGACCTTCGGGTACCATCCTCATAGGGTCGTAGGTTCACAATTACTCCTTATAAGAACTGAAAAATGGAAGAACATGGTGCCACTGTGCCACTGGAACACCTCCCATCACCTCCCATCCCGGTGACCCTCTGAGGGTCAAAAAGCTATACAACACCAAAAAAAACGAAGACGCCCCCTCCCTCTCTCTCTCTCTCTCCCCGCTTCTCCGCAGTGTTCCAGCTCTTCCAGGTCAAAAACACGAGCCGGGCGGCCGTTAACACCAAGAAGACGGTCATAAAACTGTAGCTGTCCACGAACTGCGAACCTGAGCGTCCACGCCGCTAGTCCTCTACTCCTGAGCCTCTTCGGACACTTCTTCAGAAGTGCAAGCAGCCCTGCAAAAAGGCTCGGGAGGAGACGAGAGCTTGAATGAACGGGAGAGATGTCAAGCATCTCCTTCCAATTCTTTCAGGGATTGGTTGGAACATGTTGGAACACTCCTTGTGACACTTGTGCCTTCATGCGTGAGGGAAACCAGCACTCCCATGCACAGACTTCGTCACATAATCCAAAGAAGGTGAATGTGGCAGAAGGCTTAGCTGAGCCGCCCTGGGCGCCACTGTCTGGGCCATCCGGTTTAACATCTGCTTGGTTCAAGGAACAAAGGATCCAAACCTACAAAGGCATCTTGTGTATCCGTGCTGTTCAAGGACGGCACCAACCAACTGTCCCAGAGAACCCACATATATACATGCAGGGTGTCGTTGGTACATGTTGTCCATCAACGACGCTCCCATCCAGAGCTACCAAGAGACAATATAGACATTCATCATTGCCTTCCTTAGATCGTACGGTCGCATCCGCGCAGGAAATGTCCAAGGAAATTCACGCAGATCCTGAGCCGTCTGATTTCCAAGTGAGTAGGTCAACGATCTCAGACTTACTAGAGTAAATCCATGGAACTCTACCAAAAAAAACTATGAAGTGAGGAGTCAGGAGGCCGAACATTAAGGCCACCCTAACAGTCCAGTAAAAACATAGTCAAACAGTGAAGCCTAAAGTCCAAACATGAAAAATGTTGTATTACTGTGTACTGGATGTTTGGACTCTGGGGTGTCATCGGCATCCGCTCACGTGGACTTGCCAGTCAACAAGGAGGCATACCGGGAAATTGGCGCTATACTTAGTGATACTTCACGCGTCTCGCCATGATTCCCCATCCATTCTCCCAAAGCCAAATCTTCCTACCTTCAAACCAACTCCTCTCACCGCAATGCTCTCTACGCAGCCAAGCCGCCGAACTAAAGACTTCCACTTGGGAGAGCTCCGTCATGCCGCTTGGTTGACGGTTCACCTCCTTGCCGTGAGCACGGTGGACGGTGGTGCTGGGACCGATAGCTGCAGCACCGTAGCCAACAACACTGCCAGGTGAACCTTCACAAAGGGTAATGGACCAAATCTCGGGTTACAGGAACCTAGGAACCTAGTCATGGTCATCCAATCATATCCACATACAATTGTCACAACAAAAGAAATCATACCAAAAACGCTGGTGAACTGTGGGTCCAGCTGAATGTGTGGCGTAGCACTAACCGCCAGAACCCTTCCACATCCCCTCCGCCGTGCGAGACAAAAGCAAAACCCGCGCATCACGCGTGCCACGTGCCGGCCCGGCCCGGCTCGGGGGCGCGAGGGCGGCCTGCTCCGCCACATAGGCTGCTCTGAACTCTGACCGGAGCACCTCGTCGAGGTTCAAGGATCGGGTACTCCTCAGGCGCTGCCGGAGCAGGCCGTGGGCGGCGGCGTGGGTGGAACATGTGAGACATGTGCTGCAGCCAACCTGGAGTGGTGGCTGGATCATAGGTGCAGGGAACTGGTCGCAGTTGATTTTTGGTCACATCAGAAGGGAAAGGTTGAGCTGCCTGTCGAAGAAGAATGATCAGCTTGCAAGTTCCAAAAACACACAACAGGTTTAATTTGGAGCACTTTCGGTGGAGCAGTCAGCCCGTTCATTGCTTGAGATGGCATACTTTTCAATACAGCACTGAAGCTCCACCGAAGATCTACTTGGAGATTCTCATCGCATTCCACGGCCTTGGGACGCCTTGGGTCTAATTTCCACTTGACTGTAGATCCAAAACCATCAAAATCAGAATTCCACACTCTCCCGCGCCTTTCAGGTCATCTCAGGTCTTAGGGATGCTTAGATGCTACAGTACTTGCTTCACCCACACCGACTGGACATGTCCAGTCCAACGCTCCCCAAACAACGTCATGGCCGGTGCCCCGTGTGGACGAGCAACGACCTGAGGAACGGCTGATCGCTGTCCGACATCAACCTCAGTGGAGATCGCTGGGCTAAAGATCGTGGGATCCAAGTGGCACTCGCCTTCACCATGATTGAGGGATGTCGGGTTCAATTAGGGACTTCTAGACTCTGGACATTTGTGGATTAAATTCAGATCCTTAATGTAAAATGCACTTTCCGGCGTGAAGAGAACCCTTCCCCTCCCCTGCCCCTCCCAAACAAATAACACACGTCCCACCGTGCCCCCCGTCCCAACCGTCCCACCCGTCCGCGGCGGTCGCCGCACGCGTTCTCTCTCCAGGCGTCTCTTTGCTGGAGGACTTGAAGAAGTCCATGGCCTTTCAGCTGCGGAGCGTCAGCGTTCCTCTCACCCGGAACCGACCGAGTTCATACACAAACGGTCAAAGCTGCAAGTCTTCGGAGACCATGGGGGGTGGTTTAATCCACATGGGGGAGGTGCTATGAAGCATCAAGAATGGTCTATATTGTACATATATATATACATATATGTCATATGTCTACATTTGTCGGTGGAAAGTGATGAAAAAAAACATGGAAAAACTCGAAGTTCGCCATTATCAAACACATGCAAAGAAAGCACCCTCAGAGATATATCTGCGGGGAATATGCCTTCCCAACACTCCAGCAAAACAATTGTCGAACATTTGTCGTTGCTGCCTCCTTCGAGGAGACTACCTCACCACCTCTTCAACTTTAAGGGTTGCCAAATGTTTGGGTTTTCCACCGTGCACAGCACCTGGTCCGTGCTTCAAGATCTCTCAAACTCCAAGTTGATGAGTTGCGGAATTAGCTCAGGCCCTGATCTTCTTTCATCATCTTGAATTGTTTTTGAAGGATAAGCAACCTGACTTGGAGGCTAAACAACTCCCCACTTGTATCTTCATCTGTATCGTCATTTGTCTATAATTAGCCTGTGAAGAGGCACATAGAGCTTCCTTGATCGATTTGCTTTGACCGAGATTCCTCTTCTCTCGCACTGACGCACTCACTCCTCCCCCCGGCGCATCCTCCGCGCGCGCGCGCCCCGTCTGCCTTGTTGGCCCTCGGATGCTCCAAGTCGCCCGGTGGGACGAACCACGGGTCCCCGGTGGTCCATGGTGGTCCCAACAGGGGTCGGTCGCTTTGAAGAGAGATGAATGAGGAATCGTGGAGTTGGGGGATCTAAGTGGGATCTGGGATCAGTGAGGAGCAACAAAAAACCTCCCTCCCAAGCCCAAGAATTATGGAAGTGGACCAGCTCCTTTCGGTAAAGGGCAATGGATCTTCTAGGTTCTAGGGGGCCATTACTTCGATTGTTGGGGTAAGCAACCCAAAGATCTATTTTCGGAATTCGGAGAAAACTATGAGGGGCATCATTGCATCATGGTAAGAATTGATGGTGTCACAGTGACATGCAACAGAAAGAATGGATCATTTTCAACTAATCACAACCGTGCTAATGACATCTGTGCTCACCACCTGGTCACATATAATGATTTGTGGGGTTTGTTTCTTTCGCAAGGTTCAGGACTTGGTCGTTTGCATCTGGTTCTGAGGATCTTCTATCCAGGTCCACCATGCAGGACAGTTGTCCCAATGATTGTGCTCGATGGAACTGTCCAACTGTGACAGCAGGACTTGCGAAGGCATCATTGTTTTTTTTGGTAAGGAACCGGAGAAAACAACATCTTCCCCAGAAGGGGATTCCTCTGTGTATATATGTATATATTGATATATAATTATATGTGTGAATATACACACCCATGTGCGTGTAGAAACAACAACATCCTCAGCACCGCCCAGTCGCCGGTCGCTGTTCACGTGCCGCCACAGAGACCATTGCCGCGGCATCGGTCCGATGATGGTCTCGGTCTGTCTGTTTCGAGGGTGAGGCTGTGAGAGATCTTCCAAGGCAACAACAAGAATCCGGTGTTTTTGGGGCGCCACGTCTGGGAGTTGACCCCCATATTGACTCTCTGGTGATTCTGAAGCTCGGAGGTGCTCAAGGAACTAGGAACTGAGCTTTTCGACATTCTTGGCCAAAGAATGTGGTTTGGAGGTGGTGGGCCCAGAAAAGCCCACAACTGTCAGTCATACTATATATATATATATATTACATCTCTATATATATATATTTCATCTGAATCTGGGATCTTCTATCTCCCAAAAGTCGGGGCCTTTTGGGTTGTTTTCATCTTGGTGGCCGCGGCGACCTGGACCTCCTCATTTGGGACTCATGGGGGGGGTGAAACACACGGTTTTCAGCTGAGAGCCCAAAGGAGGAGCGAGCCATTCAGTGTCCAAATCGGAGTGATGTCGTTCATCAACCTCTGTCTCTGTGTGTGTTGCTGACTCTGCGTATCATGAATGATCATGAATGTATCTGAACTCGGTACAATCTGACTGGTTTGTAGACGATTTTTTAATGGATCTGGGCGACCTCTGGAAAATGCCACCGAGGTCCAATCCACCTGTCTCAAAGCTGGGGTGGCAACTGGCCATCCGGGTTGTAGGGTATAGCTGCAAGAGACATGAATCGGCTGCTACGTCTGATTTGCACCTTTAATTTGCAGTACGCCTTTGTGGGGTGAGAACTGACTCCTTCCTCTGAAACTCTTGCAACACAAGGTCTTATCAAAAGAGTGTTGAATTCATGTTGATTCATTCCATGTGGATCCACAACAGCACAAAGGTACCCTTTTAACCATCCACAACAGCTAGAAGAACTCCATGTGCTGTCCACATTTGTCCACTAATGTGCTTAACTTCCCACGAAGAACTCTAGCTGCTTAACTTCAACTCCATGGCACCCATTGGACCAACAAGTAGTCCCCAAGCTCCTGCTAAACACCAAGAACAGCTTCCCCAGCCTGTCACAAGCTCCCACCCTCCCAACCCAGACCAGCTCCCACCTCAACTGCCCCCTGAACCTCGACGGTTCGACCTGCATGGTGGGTTGGGGCCAGGGAACTTGCAGGTGACTGCTGCTCTCGCAGGTTGGCAGGCCACCAAGAAAAGGGACCCTTTGGTGTGTCCATCTTGTGTTCCATGTCTTCCATCTTGGCAAGATCTTCACATGTGGACTGTCCAGTACCAAAAGACGCAAGACATCGGAAGACAAGCCGGCCAATGAAAGTGGGGAGCATGCTGGAGGGGGCCCTCCGAGGACACAAAAGACATGACCAACCCCCAGTCATTCAGTGGCCCTAGTTGTCCTCGAATCCACTCCAACACAAATGGCCTACTGATTCTGCCGATGATCGCAGCTTGGATGAAGAGTTCGTGTCCATTCTGGACGAGTTTGCCCGGTTTGGTGCCAAATCATAACGGTGCTTGGACCTCCTTCTAAAGACTTGGACCTCCTGCAAAGACCTTCGCAAACAAAGTGTTTCGGCTACCTGGACCAACTTCTGCTGATGCACTTGGTCTGCGCCAAAGATGCCGCGGCATTTTTGGTCTCGACAATGCACGAGATGTCCAAACACGCTGGTGCAACGCATGAAAACGCGGGAGCTTGAAAACGCATGCTGCCTCGCTCCCCTAGCGTCAATGGAAGGGCCAAGGTTGTTTGGATCCTTTCCATGCCGCGACGCGAAATCCACTTCATCGACTGTACACTGTACAAAAACAAACAGCCTCGGCTGTTCCGATGCCACCGCAGTGTCCACGTCATTTTTCTGCCAAGGGGTCGTCCTGTCTGCTTGACCCACCGACACCCCCGGTGACGCGCGCGTCACGCGCGGCGCCAGCGCCGCCCCCGCTCGTCCGCCCCGGGCGCGTCGCCCGGCGCGGTGGCAGCAGCGTCGGCAGAACCGGCGTCGGCGAGGAGGTTTCGGAGAACCTGTCCACGAGCCTGGGAGCGGATCGAAGTTGAAGTGGTTCGGTTGAGAGTGGGTATATATATATATATATCATTATGTACATCTAATATATTACAATAACATGTAATTGCATGGGATCCAGGTACTTCCTGAGGATCTTTGGAGCGCCAAAGGATGTCCTCGGGATGTTCCTGGACCCTTGGGGAATATAATATAAAGATGTTGAGAGTGAGAGTGTGGTTTGAGAGGCAAATACGGGACACACACAGGTGTAGATGTCTGATGCTGAGTCAGTGGCCTCGACCTTGAAATGTGTCTATTCGACCTTGATCTTGGATATCTTGGGCACATGCACCCATAACTTCCATAACCAGGGCCCAGTGGATGATGATTGATGGTTAGGTTACAGTCCTTTCTCAGAAAACGTCATCGTTTTTTTACTGACCTTGGTTGATCTTATCGACGCCAGTGTGGTGAGATAAAACATGGGCAACAGTACTGACACGGGATCAATTCACTTGTGAGGTTTGGAGGGTGACCAGTGACCAGTGACAATGACGCGCCCAAACTCTGAGCCAGCAAAACGACACTAGTTAGTATGCACGTCCTTGATCTGAAGCAGTACCAACAAAAGATCATCTGATATCATCTGATAGTCTGATAGATAAGGACATTCCTCTGATTGCTGGCCAGCCACAGTTGGATCTTCATCCAACTCGATGTCTTTACAAAGATTCGGCACTCCGGCACGAAACCCCAAAAAGGAAAGAAAAACAGACGAATCCACGCCGTTCTGCTGCTCGCGCACCTTCATCCAACTCTGCTGGCCCGAGCCATCGAAGTCCCAGTTCTCCCAGTCCTTCGCACGAAATTCGGCAACTTCCCTCGGACGACCTCTCCGAACCGTCCGTCCTCATCCCGACCGTCCCCGGTCACCGTCACGGGTCCGGTCACTGAACCTCTCACTCATTGGGATGTTCACCTGAAAGGGAACCACCCTACTTAGTCCACGAGATGGGAACATGTTGGAAGATTTTGGAGGTTCCAACACGCATAGGAGGTGTTAGGGGATGTGGAAGCGGAAAAAAGGGGTTATGGAATGTTATGGTCATGGTGGGTTCATGACCCTTACAGAAAAGGTCAAGGTGGAATTCCCTCCAAAAGGAGTGTGTTGGAGGCATCTAGCATCAACAAAATAACATCAGTTATCTGCTTCTCATGGACAGTTTCACCACCAAACAGCCCTTGTTCTGCAAGTCAAACCCCCCATTCAAACAAACCCCAAGGGGTCAAACCCATCCAGATCAGATCCCAAGTCTACCTGAGAACACTTGCAGAAACCAGGAGCCTTATGGAGCCTTTCAAGTGCAAGGCCTTTCATCTCTTCAACCTCACCTGCCCCACACATCGCCCCCACACACCCATCTGCCACCCACCGCACCGCCCGGGCTACCGGTGGCTCCTGCAGGCTGTGCTTGGAGGCATCGGTCCAGTCGGCCCACACCGAGCCATTCCGCTCCACAGCCGCGGCGCAAAGCCTGCGAAAAGAGGTGGAACACCCTCCCGAGGTAGGTCAAGGACCGGTTAGTGTATTCTACTGGCAGCAACTTGAAGAAGTGCATACAGTGCATATACACAAATCTGTATCTTGAACCTAAGTTTGTGTAGAGTACTACTATGGTCTATCGTTCTGGTCGAATCACGCGGGTCAGCTGATGTGCCTGAGCATAGGGCCTACTCGTCCTCCCCATAGCTCGCCGTCGTGGTACTCAAGGGGGCCCTGTTCCTCCTGCAGGTGGCAAACACGAGCAAGGGGTTTGAAGGGTGATAACCTTCATGAAGACGGGAAAGGGAGTGGTTCCAATGATGCTTAGGCCATGTGGAGGCCCAAGAAACTCATGTGAAGTCTACCACGACAATAAACTCAAAATTGCCAGGCCTCACACAACCAATCGCTGCTAGGCAACCTGCATTTCTGAGGATATTCTATACTCATTTAGTTAAATCCAACGGTTTTTTGGTGCCCTCATCAAATCCTCGTCCAGTCCGAGTCGATTCACCCATCAACCGCTGCATGGGGTCAGTTCAACCGCTGCCCTTTCTCACCCCCACCGGAAATGCCACGTGTAGGACGTGTCCTTGAAGTACTGCAAGGCTTCCACTGCCTTCTCCATGCCCTGGCTGAGTTGGATCTCCAAAAACCAATTAGATAGATGCGAGAGATGAGTTTTGGAGGACTAGCCTAAGCCAACAAAGCGCGGCACTGTTCGGGAAGAATCTTGAAATTGCCAGAGACCCCAGTATTGTAGATTGACGAGGTTTATCCTCTTGTTAGTGAGGAAAGGCCCCTTTGGTCCTTTGGTCAAATCCTGGCACCCTCTGTGGCATCTTGATGCGCCATCTTGGCGTGCGCCATCTTGGCGTCACCTTAGTCTTCGAGCTTTCCTTCGGCTCGAAAATGTGGTTTTTGCCACTGCTCAAGGGGGTATCAAATACTCTTCACCTCAATGCTTATCACGAGCCTCCAGCAGTCTCCAAGCATCTTAAGAGAATCTTCGGATTCTGTCTGTACTGAACCTGCGACCCCCCAACCCCCAAGCAGGTGCACCAGCTCCCGCCTCACAGCTGCTCAGGCTGCAACCGCTCCTATCGCCAAACACTGGCGATGTGATGGCAGGCTCACCCGGCAGTGACCCCCGGACGGTGGCCAATATGCCAAACATCTAAGGAACCCCCATGTAGCATGTAGCTCGAAAAAATGACTGCATTGCTTTATTTATGGCAACTAGCAGCTCGCCTCTTCCAAGTCTAAGCCAAGCTGCCCATCGCGCTGCCCCAGCCAGCTCTTGGTCTCCGCGGCGGTGGCCTTAAAGAAGATAGACAAAGAAATTCCGGAAAGAAACACATCCCTTGGGATGGAGAAGAACTTCTTGGAGATCTCCCAGTGTTGGCACTGGACTTGGCACTGGCTATTCTTGGAAGTAACACACGCGGTTCCGGAAGATGTGCCCAGTGATTTGGTGGAAATATGTGCTTTCAGGGGCTTTTGCACAGGTCTTGTCTTGTTGGGAACTCTTTCATTAACAGTTGCCCTCCCCCCCCATGAGCAACCGGAACAGTTCAACCGGACACCGGACACCACACTGTTTGGCGCAAATCTTGGAACTGGAACTGCAAAACTCACTTCTTGTGTTCCTGTGCTTGTTGCTGTTGCTGTTGTTTTCTCTAAGCTTGCTGGGTTTCATCCTAGTACGTGCTCCAAACTTACCATGTGTTCAGCCCAGTGGCCATCATCTGCAACATTTGTACACTGCCATCGCGCCAAGCAATGCTGGGCACCACTCTGGACCTCCAGCGCTGGAATCAAGAGATGGGACTTTCACGAGTACCCACCACTTGCCCGCCATCTGAACAAAAGAATTGATGGTTTTGACATGTCTTGACCTGACCTCATCATTAGGCTATTGGATTCTGATACTGTTTCTGGTGCCTGGAAGACCTTCAGTCATCTCCTCCCTCCCTCCCTGCCACCCCCCCCCCGCGGACCCCTCTGCCAACGCGTCAGCAGCTGCCCGCACGTCGGCAGCTTGGAGCAGGCGCACGACGGGGTGCAAATGGCACGCAGCTGAGGCCTGTGCCAGACATTCAGGGACATCCAGGGACCACGCAAAAGCGGTAAAATGGCAGTATGACCCTCTTCGTGGCATGTGCAAGCATTCTAGTGCATTCTATCTGCTTCTGAGATCCGACTCAATGGCGCTTCTGGCGCCCAACGAAGCGACTAACGAAGCGGATTCAAAGGCTCCAAACATCTCCAGACACCACTTGACATCCTGACATAGACGTAGCATTCCCAATTGATGGAGTGAAAAGAGACGAGTGGCTTTTGCCGCATGGAGAAGTGAGAAGTGGACTGACCATCGCCATGCAAAACCTGGAATGAAGGGGAGAGAAGATTTGGAGAAAATAGACATTTTGGGGGGGGGCGGAGAGTGTGGAGCATTTTAGACACACCAGTTTGCGGTCTCAAAGCCATGACCTCTCGGACGAAGTGGCCGGTTCCTGCCGTTGAAAAAGCAAACCTTTCCCAGCGAAACCTGCTGAGTCCCTCTGAGTCAGGCGAAAGCAACCAGCTCCCCAGGTGCAGGAGATCCAAAGACTGCTCCAGGCACTTTAGCACACTCCCTGAAACAATCACGGAAGTGGACAATGGCCCCTTGGAAAACGATGTTCCTCAACCAACAGGGGGTGAACTCCACTTCCATAGGTTTCTTGCAGGGAGGGTACTGTATAATGGTGATTGAATGTGTGTGATAGTATGAGTAATTTTTCTGCAAACCCTCCCTATTCAGCATCCGATTCCTCCAGCCCTTTTTGGCCGGCCTCGTCAATATAGGAGAGGGGCCTGGCAGATCTGTCGAAGCTTGGCCTAAGGGACTTTGGAAACCCGACATCACGTGGCCCTCAGGGAGTATTTGACAGAAGTCAGTCGTGTGTTGAGACCTGCATACTGATGACCATCTCAACTTCGTATGTCTATAACATTCTATAACCATATAGCCACCAATCTGTGCAGTTGTGCAACAGGAAAAAAGGGCATGTTTCACATTGGAGTCCGGCTCATCCAACCGCTCGAACCGCTCGCCTCCATTCGTAGCCGAAAACGCCCTGGCTCTCGTCCACCTCGCCCCTCAGCAGTGGGGTGCATGGTTCTGGTGGTGAAGTGGTACGACGTCATGCACCTGTCACCCTTCGAAAGGGTCTCTTCCGTTGGCCTTTTCTAAGACGTGTCGAAGGTCCTAAGGTGGTGTCCTGTTGGAGGCTGGGGCCGGCTGGGGGGTAGAAGTCAGCCGGTTGAGATCTTTCGTGGGATGTGTGCGGATGTGCCATATCACCACCATGAGCATCGTGCATGCGGCAGGAAAAATGACCCTCTAATACCCTATAGCTCAAGCTCCTCTGCAAAGAAACGACCAAGAAATCCTCATAATCCACGTGAAATCTGAAAAGGGATGCAGATTCCACCTTCATGCTTGTCGTGCTTTCATCCAACCGCCGCCACCACCTCACCCCCACGAACACCGCGAACCGTCCACGTGAACCGGTGCCGTCCACGCGTCCACTGAGGGGGTTCTCGTGGACGCCACTGGTCGTCCAGAAATCCCACACCATCGCGGAGACCGTCGATCCTCGGGTCAACGGAGCGGGGGCAACGGAGCGCATCGAATCGCGGCATGCGCGCGAGCGAGGCGAGGAGGGGTTCTGAACGCCCGGCCTCGGTCGATTCGGTGGATTCGGGTGAGGAGCTCTGAGACCACCGTGGTGCGTTCTGTCATATACAAAAATGATCAAAAAATGGAAGCTCCGAACAAAGCGAAGGACGCGAAGGGGCCAAGGCTATCTATCTTTCAAACGATCCTATCCTCCTTACTCTACCATGTCACTCCGCGTACTTTGGCCGTGTCGGGCTAGGTCATTGTTGTTTTTGGGGCACGCATCACGAGCCAGTCGCTCCACCCAGAGGCAAAATGTCGTGGTTTCATGTCCCAGACACTCCATGGGACTGCCATATATATATATATTATATAATATATATATATATATTGATGCCTCAAACCACCCCAATGTAGGCATATATGGCATACACGGAGTGTCTGGGTGTGGGTTGACCTTCCGTTTCAAATCTCGAAGGCCTCACCCCTGGAGACGTTCGCCAATCGAACATGCGCGACGCGCGAAGCTCGTTTCGCCGCCGTGGCCTTCGGCCCTTTTTCGGTGACCGCGCGTCCGACATGGGGCTGGCAATGTCAGTTCATCTGCAGAGCTCAAGAGTTTACTGTCATAAATTCTTCGAATTGCTAGATGCCAGTAATGTCTCTGGAAAATCAGGTGTTCACCAGCAAGGTGCCTCAGTAGGTGAGAAAATTCTGGCACCCAAGCCCCATCATGCCTCATTTCTCTTGCAGCCTCTGCTCCAAACGGTCACTCCGGTGGTGGACCGTGTCGTCATACCGAAGCTGAAAGATGCGAGTTTTGGGGATGAAATTTGGACAACAGGATGCAACAAGAGTACAAACTCCGAATGAACAGATTCTTTTAGGCCCTTGGTGCATCTTAAAAGTGAGTGGCGGACATCGAGCAACTTGAGCCAAGTGAGGGTAAAACCATCTGATTTCCAAGATGAAAACCTGATGAAACCTGATTTTGAGCGCCCTCATAGTTACACATGAGTCCCTTGATCATGTCTGGCGTAGTTCTACAGCTCTTGGGTGTTTCGACAGTTCTACTCCCTCAGCTGCCTTGCTTTGGGGCAGCTGGGGTCCATACTCATGTTCATCTCAGTGTCTTCCAAGTCCATCTTGGTCCATGAACTTGCACATGATTAAAGCCTCCCCAATTTAAAAACACCACTTTTTAATAGCTGGACATGATTGTTGATCTAGCCGAATTCCCTGCAGGGATATGGGATGATCACTGGGATGATTCCAAGTGATCATTCAAGTCGAACACGTGGGGCCTGCACCAGCACGCAAGGTAAAGATATGAGCAGTCTGCTCCAAAACGTGGGAAGAAACAGAGGCATAAATTCCACTTTGGCGGGAGTTCTACCCGGTTTTGATTAGACATCACACCCTTTCACCAAAAGAGTATCGACAAAAGCCTCTCGACCTCGCTGCGCTGCGAGATGAACTGACAAGCCCGCTAGGCGAGCCTCATGCCCCCACCGCGTCTTGATCCGACAGATAGGGCCGGAGCAACCAGGGATGACAGGTAAATTGACCCCTCTCAGATACAGTGATTTCAGAGTAGATGGCACGTTTCCCCCATGATGTCCTAGACCGATGGGGGTCCATGTAAACCACCGACATTGAGGATAGTGCCATCTACTCTCAATCCACTTTTTTCATTCCCTCCTTCGATTCCGGCGTCCATCATCTACAAATGATCAACACTTCTTTCCTCCAAACGCCCGAACCCCATAATTACTATCTAACCCCCTGAAGATTAAGGGAAAAAAGAGGTGGCCTGAAAGGCCGGATTTAGATGGTGTTGGAATGTATTGGAGAGGACGGCGCCCAAAGCGGCATTGCAAACACAGATCTCACGCAGCCGTTCGTAAGGCGGACTGGACGGAGGTCAGGGCTGTTGGGTACAAGCACTGGTGCTCAGTTGAACCTTGGAGGAGCCGCGTATTCTTTTGTCGGCTGGCAGGTAGAAGCGGGTGTTGAATTAGAAGCCTTTTGGCTTCCAATGAAGCCTAAACATCGTTGGTGACTAGGGTGCTCTTATCCAACCCTTGTAGAAGCTGTTGATCGGGTGCCCCCTTTAGGCATGCTTACAGGGATGCGCACGTCCAATGGTGAGGGATTTGCAGAAATCGAACTCTCGCACTTGGTTGAATATGCATGGTTGAATAGTACAAAAACATATACAACCATAACACGTGATGAAACCTTATCATTATTTCATCTTCGAGGGCGTTTCAATGACAAAACAACCACACACGAGTGAAGTTCGGGGTGATTTTTCCACACCAAAACCAAGATGCTTCACACCCGTGGATTCACCAATCTTCGGTCTGAGTCGATGGCCCAGGATTCCCCTCCAGAATGCTCCTCCATAAGAGTGGCCGAATGGGCAAACTTCTCGTGAACTCTCGTGAACTCCTTATGGTCCGCAGTCCACAACGCCCTGGCACGCCGTCCGGCATCTGTGCCGCGGGACTATGCACATGAGCGAGTTAAGCTGCTCGGGTGATCTCAATGTATTCACCCGATCAGGCGAGTGCCTGAAGCCGCTGCCGGCACAATGCATTTCAAAGAAATTGGACATTGAAACTTGATCCATGTCATAGAATTGCGTGCCACAGCTTTGTACAGTCAGCCATTGGTGATCACACACCCATTTCTTCCTATGCCAGGATGCCAAGCCACCTACCCTATAAAACTTATGTCCCGAGAAGCTAAATTCCAATAGTCTAGCGGATCACATATTCATATCTCATCGTTATGGACCTTTTCATGCTCAAGAAGAGACCAAAGGCTTCTACCCGATTCTACGAGTATCTTCATATGCCTGACGAGACAGAAAGTACTCTGGATCAACACTGGAGGCACACATCGTGGTATCTCCCAGCCGAGGGTTGCTAGATTACTCATCTTCAATGGAGGTCCGTTCCAAAGCGAGGACAGTGGGCTTTGTAATCTTTGCATCCGCTCCAGCCCCAAAGGTCGAGTTTGAAGGAGGCTAGAACTGGCAATGCTCGCTCTCTCTCTCTCTCTCTTGCTTCTACTGAAGGCCTTCAGGTACTTCACCAAATGGAGAAATGGATAGAAATGGGATCAAGTGGAAACGCGATAAACATACAAATAGCTACTCTTCTGATCCCTTCATACTCATCAAAGATTACTCATTGTATCGACCCAACTGTTTAGCGCCCAAAATGATTCATGGTTCTGGCCAGGTCTTCTGTTCTCTAGTTCTAGTGCCAGGTTCATGGCTCTTTGAAATGCTGACCTTGCAGACTAACTCGCAGGTATCGTCACTAAGCCCAAATGAACCGCCTCGGCTTGACGCACCGATTGATACGCGATACAGAACGGCCGATTATGCCCAGGTCTCAGTGTGTGGAGAAGGTGGCTATGCTGCAACTGAATTCTCACCCACCCACCCACCCACCCAAAAGAGTCCTGGTAGACAGGGGATGACATGGGATGACCAATGCATTGCAGTTAGTTAATCGGAGAGTTTGTTCATAAGATCAACCTCAGCATGGATCTGATGTTAACCGTTTAACCTGAGTCAAACGACGTGGCTGCCACACAAACGTGGTTCTCTGCAGGGAAGTCGTGACCTCCCTCCTTCTTATGGAATTTCTATATTGTTTCTACTAGCTTCTTGCTCCTAGTAGTAAGGCCAGGAGCCCCTAGTAGCGTTCTTGTTCCTAGTAGCGATGCCCTTTGCTCCTAGTAGCTTTCTTATGGAATTTCTATATTTGCTGTTTCGCACCTTGTTGGTAGAAAGTCATGCGCTACATCAACCAATGCTGCTGGATGGTGACGATTGAAATGACAGCCACCGACTGCCAAACACTATTGCACAAACCTTCTCTCCTTGTTATTTTTTGGGGGAATGTCGGGGGTTCGTGCAACGAGCAGTCAGTTGGCTGGTTGATGCCTCCATCTTGGGATGCGGAACTCTAAGCTGTACCTCATCCCAATGGCTTCGGTTTCGCCAAACGACCAAATGGTTCTGTGATCGTTCCACCAGTCAGAATCACGCTTCCATCATGTTCCATGGAGCGTCGGGCTTTCGAGGAAATTGACCCTATAGGGGCTCTGCGGGCTCTTCGTTGAGAAGTGGCCGAGCCCCGTACTATAGATACGATCCATTCCCTCATTCCTTACGCTCTACGAAGCATGCTTTGACCCTTCAATCCAAGTTCTTGTGGAGATTTGGATGTTGGTGCCCTGCTGAAAGGTAAAACATCGACCAAAACCAGCACCTTTTGCGGAACTGGAGTCAAGGAAATGCACGACATCTGCAAGTGGCCTTCCTTTGAAGAAGAGTAAGTAAGTTCGTTGCGTTGGTGGTACTTGCTCCGGACCCCGCCCTCACGATGCAGTCTCCGTGAAAGATGATATCAAGCTGCGACATGTTGGGGCGAGCTGTCTTGGTGGTCCAAAAGAGATCCTGGCATCGCACCATGGCGCGATGGCAGGTTGGCAGGATCAAAAGGGTAGACAGCAAACACGCTGCAAGCTATATCCGGATCCACAGTAAATATGGAGGACAATGGGGACTTGTGCTCTTGCTGCCACTTCAGCATTGATTGCACAAATGGCAGAATTTGTGTTATTAATGCTGCAACAGTTTCTGAACTGATGAAAGCACGACAAGTTAAACATACACAAGGACGCCAACCAACAACATCACCTCTGCAACGAAACCTGCGTCCACCCCAAAAGACCCAGCCACCCAAAAAGCACCACACACCGGCACTCCAAGCTCAGTATCCATCAGGGTCTTATCAGTATACTCCTCACAACCGGCCAGAATCCACCGGTGAAGCCATGCTGAAATCACATGCAAAACGCTCTCCTTGGTGGTATTCGTCTTGGCCACGGAGATCGGCGTGTCGCCGGTGGTCATGCGCTTGCACTGGGGAACGGCCGGGGAGCGACCGCCGCGGGAATTCATGCGGGAGCTGCCGCTGGGTGGAGTTGAAGCTTGGGGTTTGGGATATTAACAAAACACACTCCCTGAAAGGAAGGCCCCGAAAGGAAGACCATGAACTCCTCTATAGACTATATATGGGAGGTCCTGAGGTCAGCTGTAAGCAGATTGGGAGGGTACGGTTGATCGGCAAGCTGGGAGAAGCCAAGCTGTCCGAAGGACTGAGTCCAGGTGCTTTTTCGGAGCCCAGAGGCCAAAATTGAAAGCTGTTGACCAGGGCTTCGGCGTGGGACTGACAGACGTGGAGCTGCATACTGACAGACGTGGATTGAGCTCATTATATTGTGGCAATGTGGGCAAACGCGGTCCAATCTCCAAAATGGTATTTCGATTTTGCTCTTTTGAGCCTGGCAACTGGAAGCTATAGAAGCACTTGCCTTTCGCCAAGCTTTGAACGTCAAATGTCGTCAAAGGGCATAGAAGTACGTGTCATAGAGTCATACCGACTGTCAGACTGTTTGTGAGTTCCTTCTGGTTTGGACGGAAGTTGGCCGGAAGTTGTCGAGCTGGTGGTTGAGCTAGCTGGTTGCCACCCACACATCCATACAGTCCCTGTCCATCAATCGGCCCCCCAGACGTGATCGGCGCCCGCTTCCAGCAATGCTTTGACGATGGGGTCATGGCCTCTGGAAGAGAGCGGGGGGCTGCAAACGACTAAGGCAGTTGGCACCTGCAAAATGAATGAACATGATGCGGAGGTGCATTTTTCACATGGACCAGCTGGAAGAAGAAAAACGATCATAAAGCATGATAAAGCATGAAAGCATAAAGAAGATCACCTCGAATCACCTGGATAAAGCACAAATAAGGCATGCACATAGAAACAAAATCCTAGTGGCTTGGAGGTCTCAACATTGAATCACACACCCATGCCCCCAAAAAACAATGTATCTCATGTCATAGCTGAGGGTCAAAATACGGGACACCCCTGCAATCCATGTCAGACCTCCACCGGGTGCCAGAAAAATGGAGACCCTTTGGGGGCCAAATGCCGCATAGATGGTCCGACCCTTCCGCCCAGAGGGCGAAAAGCACGCCTTTCAGGGCAGGTTTACACGCTCTCCTTTGACTGGGCCTGTTTTCTTGAGGAGCCAACTCATCCAAAAGACTCATCCGTAAACCTACTCATGTAGACTCTTGATTCGTAAGCCCTCCCAATTGAAGTTGAAATCCTCTTCATATGGGGGGGTGATCAATCAAGAGTCTACATGAACAATCCGAAAACAGTTGGGTCGCATTTCCTGGCCCAGTGGATGATGATGCTTAGTAAAGGCCTTTCTCCAAAATGATGCAGTGATAATGCTTCACCGACTGTTGCAGGCAATGGGACACTCCCAAGAAAAAGCTCTGATGAGGTCAGGTCAGTTAATCCTAATCCTTAGTGAGAAGAAAACCACGAAGAAAGCATCTCCAAACCCACTTTGCCCTGATGAGGTCAGTTAATCCTTAGTAATTAAGAAGAAAAACCACTTAAACTTAAACCCACTTTGCCCCCAGGTTTTTTGCTCAATTCATGTCAATTCATCACTTTCACCGTAGTCCGTAGTCACCTGCTGAAACCGCGTAGTGTAGTGGCGGCGTGTAGCCGCGCCCGGCGCCCGCCTTCTTGTGAGGCCACCAACAGCGGTGTGGCACCATCCACTGTGGCCTGCCCGAAAAGCTGCTCTGAACGAGTGGGAAGACTTGGTTTTAGAAGGTGTGTGGGGGGGGGGCTGAGGAGGTTGGAGTCCCAACTCGAATCCGTCGCAAGAAAAGAACCTGTACGGAACGGGTTCCCAAGCTGCTGCACTTCCGCGGGCACGCCGCAGGCTTGGGACTTTCCTGAGCTTCCTCAGCTCGGGAAGTCCCACACGAGCTCCTGACCTTGTTCACATCTGCGGAGGCTCGGCAGAGGATCTTCACCACCTCCTCCTGGCGAGACAAGGACGAGAGGAAGTGGCGTGGCTTTTTGCGACGAGAGTGTGGGCACGGAAGAGGTGAGATTCCTTTTGGAGGATCCTGCTTTTTGAGGTTCCAACGCCTTTTTCATAGGAGGGGCTGGGTAGTATTTTCCCAGTACCTTTGAAGTAGATATGGAGCCTTGTTGAGGGGACATGAACTAATTATGCGTCCCTGGATTTCATGGCCCAGCTGGGAATCCTGGCCCATCGTGAGGCAGGTCGGTGTTCAGAAAAACACCTACCAGGGGTACGAACTGCGGTGACTTGGTGACTTGGTGATTAGGAAAGACTAGAGAGACTCCCAGTCCCGAAGCTCGAAAGGACTGGAGGTGCAGAACTGCAGATGTGGGAAGTGATCGGATGGAACATCCTTTCCCCAAGGAATGCTTTGCTTCAACAAGCCTAGGGTTGACTAGAGGAGCCGACCTGCCAAAAATATCGGCCAGGTCCGCAATAGACCGCTTGAATCTTGATCCCTGCATGCAGGAAGGACAGTCTAACTCGTCTGATCACCAATCCAGAACGATCCCAATAAAAGCCTATCAGGACCCTCCAAACGGAGTCTATAAATATCCTCTTAGAGGTTAAGAGGAGTCCAAAAACCGCCTGTTTTGTTCATTGTTGGAAGGTCCTGGGTACAGAATAATGAGTCATTATGATGACATCACTCCGCTTTTGTCGATCCGCAGCTGGAGCCATTCTAAAGATCACTCCAGAAATCCAAGAGGCTGCCATAGGCTGCCCGAAACGCCCATTCCCCGCAGTCACTCGGTCCCTTCCTTTCGGAGAACAAGACATTCCGGTGAAGACCTCACCGCGTGACATCCTCCGAAAGTCTTCCGGTTTTCCCCCCGCTGTGGCCGTTGTCCCACGCCTGATTTCGAAGCGCCGCCACGAAGAGCGCCGTCTCGTGGCTGGGGGTGGCGCTGTTGACGTCAGCATCTGAGCCGAAGCCAGCGGGTCGACGACGGGGAAAGGACCCCGCCCTCGCACAGACCTGCATTCCGGTGGTATTTCTGTGGCGGAATTTTCCCGAGTGATTTTCAACCCCCTCTTCTATATGAAGTGTTTGTTTGTTCCCTTTTGGGAAATGGTTTAGGCTCAACCGCCTCACCATTGCATGCACTACTACTTCGGGTGCTGTTCTGCAAGCCCAATGGTTAGACTCCAGGATTGAAGCTGCCGATCTTGGGATTTCTGAAACCTCCCTTGGCCCATCCGACTGGCCAAGGGCTCGAGGCCATGGTGACCTTGTTGGAAGACGATCTTCTGATTCAGGGGCCCTGGTGAACAAGTGCCCCATCTTCGGCATCTTACAGCATCTTACGCATGAAAACCTTATGGCGGTGCAATCTGCGAGGAAGATCCCAATTCGTTCGTTTTCCAATCTGCTACTTGTCGTTTACTGTTCTGAAATCGGTGTATTACTCAGGGACGACACATTCCCAGCTATTAATTTATAGCTGCTAAGAAAGCAGTCAGATCACAAAGGACGAAAGGAGTCCATTCTCTTAGATCAAATCCAGTGGACCTCATGTGAGCTGGATATCATGATGCCCCCCCTAGAACCCAACACCAAAGACATGGGAGATAGATGCCATCCATGCCTCTATTCTATCTATGATTCACCCACCTATACTTGGATCAACCTATCTAACTCCGATGTCCTGGAGTTATGGGAAGCAATTTGGAACCATAAACTGGTAATGGATGTCTAAATCAACATGGTGTAGCTAGCACACGCCCCAAAAGAAAGAAACTCTCCAAATACCCAGCACCAGAATAGATCGTTTCTGAGCTGCTGCTCAAGCCCCTTGGGTCCAGTAATCAGCCTTGAATTGGAGTGCACTCCGACTCACTAACATGGAAGTGAAAAAAGCATGGGCCCTTAACGAAGACCATGTTCCTTTACAAACAGGTAGGTGGTGACCTCCACCTTCCATGCTGTGTCGGAGCTCGTTTGCCCCCCCGACTCCCACCGCTTCGTGTCCCAAGGCACGACACTCCACGAGGCAGTTCACCACGGAGGCCTGAGGGGGCGCGTTCGTTCGTGCGGTGCAGCCCGAACGAAGCGAGCCCAGTAGTGCGAGACCCGGGTAATGTGGAATCTGATCTGTTACAACATTGGTTTCAAGTCCAGAGCAATAGATGTGCAACTTTCCGAGATATCCATAGGTATATCGGCAAGATCGATTGAGATGGACCATCATATGGCGTTTTTGGTGCAAAAGGAGCTGAACAGTGATCTCCGCAGAACACTTCCATACTATATATTCGTCTACAACGCTTACAAGTATCTACAGCCCCGGGTAAATTTTGCGGGTCTAATCATCCAATAGACACCTTAGCTCAATCCTTGTAATTAAACTAGTGAAGCTGTGTGAGGGCACACCCCAGGCTGCAAAAGAGGCACTTGGAAATGGCAGTCTGTTTTTGAAAAAGTCTAGGCTATGGCAGCGGCTATATTATATATGCTGCTTCAGATTTTACTTGAAGGGTGGGACCCACCGAGGCTTTCAAGGCCTTCACCGTTTCTGGAGGTGTTCAACCTCATTGACGCACTTCGGCGACCCCGAAACAAACGTCCAAGACACATGTCCCCTCAGCGCAGCCACATAGAGCGCCGTTGCCCCATTGTAGCGGGCCTCTTTATCCTCAACGAGCGTGCGAGACAGGTAGTGAAGTCGGAACCTCCTCGCTCCTCTTGGCTCAGAAAACCATCTGCCTGCAAAGACCAGGGGACCGGATTTCGAAGCAAGCCGCTTCAATATTTATATCTTGTAAGGACCCACCCTGCTACAAGACACCTTCTTCTTCTTTATATAAGCCCAAAAGGCACCCAAAGAATGAACAAGTTAAAACATCCGAAAGCACTCAGAACCCTTCTTTCCTCCCCCAATCACTGGCCCACCTCTTCATCCTCTTCAACCACCGACCTGGGCATGCCAAGACTCTCCGCCGCGGCGGCCTTCCACCAAGAGCTTCACCGTCTCCAGGTGCCCGGCCTGCTCGGTCTCGGTTCGGTCCCGGTTCGGTCCCAGCTGAACTTCAGGTTCGGTGCCAGGAATTGATGGAACATGGTGGAACGGATTGGTGGACATGAGGGGGGGGGGAAGATGGGGAGAACAAGAACTCCTTCGGAAGGAGGACTTCCGGAGGGTGGGAGGGTCCCAACTTGGGAAGCGTGTCTCCCGGAAAAAAACACAGGGTGGGTTGGATGGGTTTGGATGGTTTGGGGGTCTCATGCTTGCTCTTTGATTCTTCGCTTTTGCTTTTGAGAAGTCCGTCCAAGAAGGAGCTATGCCGCTAGGCCCTTTCGTGAAAAGGAAAGCTTGTGGAGGGAGAACATCAGGTCTCAAAATGTCTCAAGGCTTATGAAGGTCTCAAACCTCAAGTCGTGGTGTGTCAGGCTCTGGTGAAACAACAAGCACAGCAAACGGCAATCATCTAATAAGAACAAATACTACACTGAAGTCTGTGATAGTATCTTCTCTTTCATGTGGCGTTTGCCAACCTGCTTTCCTTAGCACCCTTGTGCCTGGGCTGCTGCAAAGAGGGGTGCCTGCCCTCTGGTCGTGGCCTCCAGAGGCATCATCGTTCAATGTCAAGTTGAACAAGAAAGGGATGCTAACAGTGCTCTCCACAGAGGCACACCTGCTCAGCATCACTTGTTTGAACATCACTTGGCGTTCAAGCACCGATGTGCACAAAGCTAAACACGACAATCCACAGTAACACCCTCCTCAACACGCTCGCACTGGCTCAACGCGTTTGCACTGGTCACCACGCTGCCATATCTGCCATGCCCACTCTTCTCATCCCCTCTATGCTTCACACCCGTCTACACCCACTGCCATGCCCACACAACCCACTTTTCACCACTTTTCGATGCCATCTGTGGGCCTGTAGGCACCTACCAACGAGTGGTCGCCCTCCCCGTGCGCCTGGCACCCCGTTCGCCTCTCCTCGCGGTCCGGGTAGCGCCTTGTATCGATCCGCGCCTGTCTGCAGCAGCGCATGGACGCAGTCGTGGCGCCCGTGCTGCGCGGCCGCGAAAAGGGGCGTCTCCTCCTGGTGATTCGCCTGGCGAAGCGCCGCGAAGGCCCAACAACGGCAGGAAGGGAGTTGTTTTTAGGATCGGATCATTCATCATTCGCGAACACCAGATGCCCCATTTATATGACAGGGCAAGCAAGTTGAAGATGTTGAAGCCTACACTACATGGAGCATGAAGAATCTTGATCTTCATCCTTTTGAATCAACTCGTTCAAAAAAAATATCATAGATCAACCATGCCCGGCTTCATGTGCCCGCTACATGCTTTCGAACCATCTGTTTCCCACCCCATGTGCCACCATGTTGGCCTTGTTCTTGTTGGCTCCCACTCTCAGAAGCGCCGACACGCTCCTCGGTCTCCCCGGGTGCTTTCGTCCGTGCTTACCCGGATGGGCGCGTTTAGGAGAAGCCGTGGGTGGGCTCCCAGCAGCCGCGAGAAAACGTCCTCCGGTGATCAGCGTCCTGATGATCCTGATAAGGGTTCAGTCTAGGTGTCTTATATATGTCAACTCCAGAGGGTAGGGGGTGTTTGGCTAGGGGGTGTTTGGCTAGCTTTCTTTGATATAGTAGTTCATGTATGCAAAAGTCATCGATGTGCATCGATCATGAAATACGTAGGTATTCTGCACCCTCCAAGAGAAACGAGCATAATACAGAGCAGCATCACCCTTCTGATGTGAATGACTCGGTGATGCTTTCCACTCCGGAAAGGGACATGCCAGGCTCCTATGTAAGCAATTGTTCTCAGGTGAGGATGCGCCCAAATCCTGTTTTGCTCGTATCTTGTGGTTGCTGGGTTCAACCGACTTGCAAAAATGAATCAGTGGGGACCCAACATCTCAAGTTAAAGGCTCAGGTTGAACACAACAGAAGATCCACCACCCAGGAATGAAACTGTTCAATTTTCATAAAAATTTCATAAACATCAACTCCAACGTTGGACACCAATTGGACACCATCCTTCGCAGCAGCTCCGCGGTTTCACCCGACCCGACCCCGCCAGCCCCCGTCGGGACCGCGCCAAGCGTCTCCACGTTCCCCCGCCCGGCGGCCAAGATCAAGGCGGTCGTGCCATCCCAGGTGGACTTGTCCTCGAGGCTAAATCGCCGCAGTTCTGCGCGGAAAACGCGAAGCATCGCTGGCAAACGAACGAAGTGCGCGACGTTCCGGGCTTGGGTGGGTGACTCTGGACGTGCAGAAGGGTCAATAGGGGGCGAAGTCCTATTGTGGGAGGCAGCTGACGGGATTGGGAGCGGTCTACTGGATCAAATGGATTACAGGGAAGGCAGCCATTAGATTATACGGCTAGTATACATCTACCAAGCTGAGCTTTCACCCTCGGCTGCTCCTTGTGCGCCTTAGCCTCCAGCAAAAGGTTCAGGATCCTGAGCGGGGACGGAGCTGGCGTGCCGGTGCCGTTCAGAATGTCTCAATGGCGGCATTCTTTGAGATGGACATGCAACATGCGAGAATCCCCCCACCTCACAACACAGGGCTCAGGGATGTTCGGCTAGGCAGGGGTCCCATATGGTGGCGCTCAAATGGGCCACTGATGACTTGCCCTGATCTTTGACAAATGCTCTGCCTTGGAAACTGAAGCCATAATGCCCTCAACAGAGCTACAACGAGCAACATGCCAAACTCGGCTAAAGAACGGACGTGAGTTCTCATCAATTCACATCAATCTCAGGTGTCCAACTCCCAAAATCGAAAAATGACCTGATCTGTGCCATCGGAGGATCTCCACATGGTTGTTCTCTGCGGCTTTCAGGACCGCCGTTTCTCCCCAGCAGTTACTCGACTCCTGCAAAAAGAGACGAGACGTCGCGCGTCATCCGTCATGCGCGATGGCGCAAAGAGCCAAGGACCGGCTCTTTGAACTACACTGATTAGAGTGTATATTACAAATAGGGAGACCTCCCCGTGAAAAAAAGAGAACTGGAAGGTCCCACACACAAACTTGCGGACTCGTCCACGTCACGCCCCTCAAAGTCCTTCCACTCCGTGGGGTGCTCTAGGGTTGGTAATTGAACTAACACTCTGGGTACCACGTGACCCGACACAACCGGTATAAGACACGGTCATCGTCACAAGTCAAGCAGACCCATTTGACCAGTTGTTTTCCCTGAGACGTTAGTATCCCCATCCATGGCTGTTTCTTTTTCAAGACGAATTGTTGAATGCAAACCATTTAGATCTACCAAGTAACGATAGACCTCAAGCAAGGTCTCTAGCTGCAGAGAGCACAATGACGAGAAATATAATTTGCAATTTCTTTCATGATTTCAATGTCCTGATTGTTGGTAATTGTTGCTGTTTCATCGGCAATGGCATTACCGAGAATGGAGTAAAGGTCTTGTGTATCAGATGCTGTGTGATTTGGCTTTGAAAACTGGAAGGTCCCGAAAAAAATGCCAAAACCATCCAAAACCCATTGGTTGGGGATCTCAGATCTCGAATATATTTAATTTATATACACACGATCAGTCATGCATGATCACCCAGCTCACTTCAGCATGTTCCATCATGAACAGGCAGCAGATTTGATGCATACATGAACCAAAACCTCTGACGACTATGAGATCATGTTTAGTTAGAGCTTGGGTAAACGGCTATACACTGGATTTTTGCAGGTGATCTTGAAAGCCCGGCTCTGGCAACACCCGTCGCTGAGAACCAACTAGATCGGCTACGAACCAACTAGATCGGCTACGTCGCGAGTCACGACATTGTTGAAGACACTGTTCCTGTGCAGTGGGGAAACCAATCCCCCCCAAAAAAAAGGATCAAAGGAATCAAAGGATTCACCGGTTCACTCTTCCGCAAGGTCAGTCTGTTCGTCCATTTCCAAAAAAACGCCACCTCGGGTCGCCTTCCAAACCTACCAACCTCCTACCAGCCGCCTACCTACCCCACAGCTGGCGGCAAAGCCCCACGGCCCGCTCCCCCACCTTCTCAGCACCACACTCCAGCAGGAGCTCCACTAGCTCCGTGTGCCCCTCTTGCGCCGCCAGCAACAGCGGCGTCTCCCCGTCGTTGTTCCCCAGAGTCAGGTCCTCACGAGAAGGGAACGCCCGCACGGCCCAGGAGCTAGTAGGGCTCATCGTGGGTTAGCGGTTAGGAGCTATTAGTCCTTTGTTACTGGTAGCTTCTTGGTACTAGTATGTACTAGTAGTAATGCCAGGAGCTACTAGTGGCTTCTGTTGTACCGGTATCTTGGATGCGGGGCAGGGGCATTGTTTTGGAAGTTGAATGCCCCAAACGTGGACAGGCATGGTTAACCAAACATTTTCGTGAAACAGTTTCAACTGGTTCAAGTGGAACTGATCCTGGGAGCATCTTTCAGGTTGACAACCACACTCATTGTTGATTCCAGCTGATTCATTTCCAGGTTTCCTGAATAAAATCACTATATGATCTAAAGTCCACCGTGGGAGGGTGCTCAAGTGAACATCAAACCCGGCGGAGTCCTTCTTTTGCAAAGCTGCAGCTTTGCACCGATCGATCTCCCGGAAAAGGTGGTTGCTGGCAACAGGACCTCCTAGCAGCCTAGCAACCACTGGTTTTCGTATGCTTTCGTAGATCTGGCTATCATACCGGCTCTCCATGCGTACCAATGCCGAAATCCCTACAGAATCCCCACACTCTCTAGAGACACCTTGGGGCACCTCCTGTCGCACCTCCTGGCTCGCTCCAAACACTGGGAAAAGTCTGTCTTGAAGCACCTTGAACAAAGGGAGGACGGTTGAGGTCACTCTTTAGGGGAAACACACGGGGTACATCCCATCCAAAGCCTTCCACACCCTGAGGTAGGACCAACTCACACCCTGCACCCCGAGAGCCCTTTCCCCTAAAAGCACGGAAACCTCCAATCACTGAGCTCGCTGCTGCGTCCGCGTAACGAAGGAGCTGCAGCATCTCCATGTGCCCTGCGTCGGACAGGCTGGAGACGAAGAAAGAAGTAGTATATATAGCTTGGGCCAAAGAATCCCTTCCCAAAGATCTTTGGATCGAAAATGGGAAAGGGAAGGGATTGCTTGGGCCGAAGATCTTCCATGAATATCTCTTCGGAAAGATCTTGGCTAACACTGCTCCAAAGCCTCGGGTCTGGAGTGCTTACGAGCCCTCACACTTCCAGTGGTGAGGATGTTTTGTCACCATTCTTTGCAAGCCCAGAACTCCCCTTTCTTGCATGGTTGTGCTATATAACATGCTGACAACAAGGCCACCTTGGCGACAAGCTTTCAGTGCTGCTGTCTCCCCGTTCTCATCCGCCGCATTGGGCTCCTGGGCTTGGCTGATGCGATCGTGAGAAGTCCGCGACGGCCATCGGTGACGGATGGCGTGACCGTAAATAGGACCCGTCACGTCGCTTACCTATTGGATAGTCTAAGGGATCCTCTGCTGGAAGTTGCATCAGAAGTGTCCCTGAAGGGAGCCCGCCACAGAAGAAACCATCCCACAAGCAAGAGAAATCAACCGCCCAGAGAACTTCGCGCTTTCAGCTTCGCGAAACGCAAAGTCGTGGCTTTTCTCCAAGAAACAGGACCCTTTGAGCGTGTGAAAGCCTTGGACCTGGAGGTGTCTTAGCTTCTCCAATCTCGTAAGTTCTAGCCCATCTGCGATCCACCGGGATAATTGCAAAAGTTTGGGCACTAGTGGGCATATCCTGTCCCCACAAACAAATACAAACCGTGGATGATGATGCTTAGCAAAGGCCTTTCTCTAGAATAGTGCTAATTTACGGATATTTGCAGGTCATTAATGGGACCAACCCAATGTACAGTTGCACCCACTTGCCGCGGTTCCAACCCCTTGGTCTCGCCGTTGGTCTCGCGTCCTGTGGCAACATGAGGCAGTATTCGGCCTGCCAGCGGACGGACGGGCCAAATGTTGGTTGGGAAGTCCCACCGGATTGACACATTTGAGGGGGTTGGAACTTGCTGCCGCAGGAGTTCAAGAACGGCGTTGATGTCTTCACGATCATCCAAAATACAGAAAGAGAAGTGAAGAAACAAAACAATCAAGTGGGTCTTGCTGATATCCTCTCTGCCTCCCTGTGTTTGCTACAAAGCTTTCAAATCCAACTGCTCAACTGCTCTTGTACTTTGAAAAGGCCGTCCTTTCCTTCTTGGCATTTACGGCACGGGCAGACCGCCAAGTCCGGTGTCCACCTCAGTGTCCACCCCGAAGAGTCTCCATGACCCTCTCCAAGTTGTAGCCATTTGGGACCTTGGATTCCAGGTGTGACCAATCAGCCTAACATCTCCAGCCATCCCAGTCTTTCCTCGATTTTTCTTCCAACAATTCCTTCCCCTGGGCGGGCGCCCACGGGGAAGGAAGCCGATCGCCCAGTTCGAGCACGGAGCGAGCACGGAGCGCCGCAGCCGCAGCAGCTGTCCATCCCCCCAAAGCGCATTGGTCGCCTCCTCCACCTTTCCGGCTTCGGCCATGGCCCTCAAGCGCTGCCCATGCGTGTCCACCTCTGCGTTCCGCGCGAGAAGCCCAAGCGCGGAACGCAAACGGAGGTCCAACGGACGTGGACGACGCTTTTTTCCGGGACCTCCAGGGGTTTGGTTCGAGCATCGCGATTCTTCTAGTTACAGTGGTTGAACAATTAGATGACATACCCTATAATACACTCGTATCAATGACCATGCATATATAATTGATGACTCATAACTGTTAAACACATTGAACAAGTTGGCAGTTCACTTGATCCTCACACCATGAAGGCCGTTTTTCAACTTTGGGTGACCAAACAGCTCCAGCTCCGCGGCGGGGCCACACTGGGACGATCGGGTCTCCCGAGTCGGATCCCTTCGAGGATCACTTACATGGGGGGCCTGGGGAAGTGAAGGTCCTTTTAAACGATCTGGGCCCTGGGAGTAGTTAGGGAGCTTGAAAAAGTCGAAGAGGAAGGTGCAACAGGAACAAGTAGACTGCTGATACAGAGATTGGCTGACACCGCCTCGGGGGGGGTTGGCATATGTTGGCATTCCAATCGAAGCTCCTCTCCCCAACCCCCGGCGAATCGGGCAGCTGAAACGATGTTTCTTTCCATCATTGGTCACCATTCGGCGAACACCACTTCCATGTGACCATGCAAAGCAGCCGCCGAAGCCGTTGAGCCATGGTGGTTGTCCCGCACTGCCTCTGCCACATGCTAAGCAGCTCGCTCCAGCAGCACCCGCACTTCCACGTGGCCATTCCCAGTTCCGTTGCTGCATTCTTGTCAGCCCCAGCCTCGAGCAACACCCGCACTTCTTAGCCGCAAACATCAATTAAGGCAGTTGCTCCGGGTTGCGTTGCTGCGTCCTTGTCAGCCCCAGCCTCGAGCAACAGCCGCACCACTTCCAAGTGGCCATTCTCAGCTGCAAACATCAATTAAGGCAGTTGCTCCGGGTTGCGATGCTGCATCTTTGTCAGCTCCAGCCTCGAGCAACACCCGCACCACTTCCAAGTGGCCATTCTTACCGCAAACATCAAGGCAGTTGCTCCGGGTTCCGTTGCTGCGTCCTTGTCAGCTCCAGCCTCGAGCAACACCCGCACCACTTCCAAGTGGCCATTCTTACCGCAAACATCAAGGCAGTTGCTCCCGGTTCCGTTGCTGCGTCCTTGTCAGCCCCAGCCTCGAGCAACAGCCGCACCACTTCCAAGTGGCCATTCTTAGCTACAAACATCAAGGCAGTTGCTCCGGGTTGCGTTGCTGCGTCCTTGTCAGCTCCAGCCTCGAGCAACAGCCGCACCACTTCCAAATGGCCCCGTTCTGCTCCAAGAATCATAGGTGGACGGTCAGCATGTGTTCCTGTGCAGTTGGGTTTTATTGTTTCCGAAGCAAACCTGTAACCTCACCAACTCCATTGTTCTCACAAGCAAGGCAGTGCCTCCCAATCGGCCTCCTCAGATGCACAAAAGTCCAGGATTACCAACTGCAAATTGGTAGTTGTCTAACAGGCATATCAGGCATGTCATCATGTAACTCGCCGATCTCTTCATGAAAGAGTCGTTGTCGAAATCTTGAGGATCCAACCTCTCCAACGAAGAGCTTCTTCAAATCCCCAACGGAGCGGAAACCCTCATGAAGCTGGGTGAGAACGGTGCCCGCAAGCGATACAATCTCCATTCCTCCAGCCCTAGAGATGGCTTATGCTCCAATGGCTACGGCTACGGATGAAATGATGCCTCAAGACAATCTGAGTGAGGCTTCACAAGGCTTGCGGCTTCATCACCTATCCAATATGACACCACGTTCAGTTCGAACTGAAAAAGATCGATCTGAAGCCGAAGTCTTCGACGGACGCGGGACGTGAGTCTACCTATGAAGTCTGGGCATCCAGACATAGTCCAAGGTCAGGAGCGTGAGTTCCCTGGGCTTCTCCAAGGCCTGCTCCGGGCAGGTTCTGGCAGAGGGCAGTGGGTCAGGTTCCTGGGACACCCGGGTTGACCAGGAAAAACGAAGAGAACTGACTACCAAGGAGGTCACGGTCAACATATCAGGGTTTCGGGCACCAGGTTTTGACCGACAATCATGGGGAAGATGTAATAATGATATATACGACCATGGAGAGGAATAGGACGCCAGCCAAAAGTCTTCTTTTTTGGACCACTCGTCCCCCATTTCGTGGAAAAGAACATCGGGCACTAGTTTAGCAGGTTTGCGTGAGTACAGAGTTGCTGTCTGATAATCTGACAGCTTGGCTCCAACCTGCTCCGCTCCCCAAACACACCACCACTGAAAACCTCACGCCTCAAAACCTTTCCCCACAAGCTACTCTCATCACCTGCCAGTTGCATCCATTGCTCCCCCCTGCTGCCCTTGTCCTGCGGTCAGCCTGCCAAGAACTGTGAAAGGGGATATCTTGGTCTTCCAGCATGAGCTTCTGCCGGAGGTACGGGATGCCCATCCTCCGAAGGAAGGAATTCGGGACAATCCGTTTGCTCAGACCTATTGGGCAAAGGAATCAAGATTCTTGCCAGCCCTAGCTGGAAACGTCTTCCAACAGCAGTAGGCTTATCAGCTGGTGAACACTTGGAAAGAACATTGAGAAAACATAAAGAGTATGTTGTATTATACCTGGATGTGATTGCATGCAATGATTCCATGCAACTGCTCCTCAAGAACAGGCATCAACGTGGTATTGCAACTGCTTTACAACGGTCGTTCCACTACCAGTATGATGTTCCTCTAGGTTTAGTCTACGACGTAGGCTGTGTCCCGGCTGTCGCCAGGGTTGGTCTCGATCGCCTGGATCTCACTTCCTCCTTGACAATCTCCAGGAAGCCTCAGCCGTTCGGTGCTGTTCAGCTCAGTTGAACTGATCAGCTCAGTGGGTGTTTCGATGGTGCTCCCGGCGGTTTTGTGAGAGTGTACTTCTGGCCGACTCCATGCGAATCGGCGGATCTGGTGTCCCAAACATGGAAATGGCAAAGACGAATGTGGAATCATTGATTCATAAAGACTCATGTTAAGGAACCGTGCGCCCGGTGTCCTTCCAGCCTGGCACGTGGAAAGGCGCTTGTCCGGGACACACCGTCTTCTCGCGTCTCGCTTAGGGATCGTGCGAGCGTCAGGCGGAAGGAAGAGGTGTTACAAATCCAAATGGGGAGGTTACTAATGGTTCACCAATCCTTGGGGAGTCCACGTCAAGCACAAAATTGGTGTGGACCCAAAGAACACAAGTGATGTTCATTGGGGGTATCAAGGAGCACCACTCTCATTCGACCCTTCATCCCGTCACACCCCCCAGCCTACAGAGACAACCCACCCAGCACCTGTCCCATCCCTAAACCCCCGTCCCCAGCATCCTCCTGCCGAATCGTCCGCACACATCCTTCCGCTCGCTCGGCTTCCAAGGAGCTCCGATCCCCGGCCATTTTGGAATGAAAGAGCTCCGGCGACATCGTCAGCAAGGTGCGGCGACTGGGTCGCTCCACGCATGCGGCTGGGACCGCATGCCGGGGGGGAGGGCAGTCCATTCGTGTAGGCGAGATGTCCACAAAAAAAAGGAGCCTGAACCAAGTCACCTGAATGAAGATGAAGATGAGATCTGTTCTCAAAGTCTCTCTTTGATGAGATGGTTTCACCAAGTTTCACCCCTCAGGCGGCAACGAGCCATTGCCCCCGCTCTCATCGTCTCATCCACGTACCACTGAAACCAAACCACATCAAACCACCATCCATCCATATCCAGCACCACGGATTCCGGGTGTTCATTCATAGCCCCGAAAAACGAGGTCATTCAGGTATATATGAACCACCCCCCAATACTGTCCGGCAATCAACATGAAACCCACCATCCATCCATCGTCCCACCCATCTTCCGGCACCTCTCCGCCGCCTGCAGATGTATCATGGACCTGCCCTCCATCGCATGCTGCCGCCGCTCCGCGGCCGCCTCCTCCGCCGCCCTCCGCTTCGCCAGCGGGTCGGCCATGCCGTGCGGCCGCGCGGCCAAGCGAGGAAGAGGAGGGAAGTCGAACGTGGCAGGATGGTGAAACATAATAGTGGATTGGTTAGGAGGGTGTGTGGCATGTGTGGTGGGCCTTTTGTAATGGTTTCTGTTTATAAGTGGCAGGGGGGCAAAACCACGCATGCCGTACATGTGGTCTCTTAGTTCCTTAAAGCAGGCACCTCCTCATTTCACCGGAACATACAGAAACGATTCAACCTCCTAGGCCAGCCCAGCTAGGTGGCTGAAAAGTAGAAACGCCCGCGGCGCTGGGTTCACTTTTGAGTGGGCTGCTCTTCCCGCTCCTGGAGTGGGCAGTTCAGGGATATCGTGGTCAAACCACCAGTGGGTCTCAAGATATCTCCTGTAGCACGAACTCGTCACGTGGTCTTCAAGGGAACTCCTACTGCAACTCACCTGCACTATCCTGGATGTCGGATTGAAGCAGGTCATGTCGCATATGAGCCATCGAATCTGCCGGTCACGCTGAAGCATGGTTTCGCCCGCATGGCTGGTGCATGGCTGGCGCATGGCGTCGCATCTCGATCCAGGTGTCACGTAGACGAACACGAAGGTGTGGCTGCTCCCCTCGGCCGATTTCGAGTTCAGCGAGTTCAAACACCGTGGTGCCATACTGCTCACGTTGGCCCTTGGAGGAATCTCGATAGATCCCAATGGCCAAGGGAGTTGGTTCCATGTCTCGATAAGGTTGATAATGAACCTCTTTTTTCTTCTGCTACTGAAGGATGATGGAGGTACATCCTCGGTCAGCTAGTCGGCTAGTACCCATCCACCAAAGTTCCTCCCTCTGCCCACTGCACCTCCCCTTAGATGTCCCTCATCCTCATCCTTTTCCCATCCCAGGCACTATCCTCAGCGGTCTTGAGCGTTGCTCGTCGACCTCCATGAAGGTCAATCCAGCTGGCACTACTGCCTCCACCACCTTCCGTCCAAGCCGCACCACCTTGGAGGGGGAAAGAAGGGCATGGACTTTGGGAAGGCTATCCTTAGACCTGGATGTGGTTCCATCCGACCTGGACACATGAGGTGGGGCTGGCTATTTAGTGAGTCGGGTGCATGGTTGAGTGTGGGGTTGAATCCAACCAACCAACCAAGCTTCAAACCATATCTGCCCCACAACCTCTCCCGTAGATCTTCAGCATCATCAAGGCATATCAAGGCTAATATCATCAAAGTCCTGGGTTGGATCAGATCGTTTTACAATTCCAAAAGGGCAAGGTCTGCAAAGGTGCGAGCAATCTCTCTCGTAATATGTTTGGCTGCCAGATGTCGTTTCATCCGTTCCAAACATTCCCACCTCCCCCAACATGCTGGTCTGGTCTGCTGCCTGCCCCGAAGACATTGTCCGCGGTCCGGTCCTCACTGGCCACCGACCAGGTCGACCAGCTTCGCGCGGCCTCCGCGGTCGTCGACCCGGCGCGCCTGTCCGTCCTGGGTCACTTGGACACAGAGCGGCTCGAAGATGATCTTGGCCTTGGCCAGGTCGGACCTCAGGAGGCTGGCTGCCAATGGGAAAAGGTGAAGACAAGCGCTTAGAGGGGTTTACAGTGGCAATGTATGGCAATGTTGTAGTGGTGGGGGCTATGGTGTTTGAGGTGGCCCATGATCCCACCAACTAGGGACCCTTGGCTTGTGAATTGCCCCAGATTTCTGGGAACTTTCCGTGTAGAAGGGTTTTCTGGTTCAGATTCATGCTCCTCTAATGCCCTGGCTAAAAGGGATATATGCACACCTTTTCGCTCTTCAGCAAGACGACAAACCATGAAACCGACTCACTCTGCATGAGAGACTTTCCTCCCTGGCCCTTCTTTACGGAAAAAAGACAAGTCATTCGTTCCCAACAGCTGTCCTTTAGACTTCTTCGTCCACGCCAGGCCACTCGGAGCCTCCCATCTCTTCTAAGGCTTCGCCTTCAGCAGCGCGAGGCGAAGCGAACAGCAGGGCTTTGGTGGGCAGTGGGCACAACCCACTGATGTTAGCTTAGGGAGTGGGCTCAACCCAACCCACTCACATCTTCGAAGGTCAAACAAACAAGCGCTAGCCCAAGAAATGTATAGACATGTCACATGTCGCTGGAGATGTGTTAGTTGTCTTTTGGATCTTGTTTGCTTGTTCCAAAACGGATGCCTTTGAGGACATCGGAACCCTATGGGTGGCCTAAGCGACGTGCCCTGGAAAAATCCTCATCTGCCTTTGCCAGGGTCTGGTTGCAGGTCCAATGGTACTTCAGTGCTGGATCTGCGGCCCTCTGGACATGGACGATTAGGCTAATGTCTGTCTCGGCATGTGGACATCCAAAACACAATTCCATCACAATTCCTGATCTCTCACATCCACCTGTATATAAACATATTTATGTAGCGGGAGAGAAGCCCCCAAATTGGTCATAGAGTTGCTCATAATATGCCTTGGCTCATAGACTAGTCATCGAGTTCTTGGGGAATTTGAGTCCTTCGCACTCGCCCAGACGTGTTTTCGCCCTCCGCCGAGCGGCGCAGCGCTGCCCGGCGCAGCACCCGCTTCCAGAGCCACTCCGGCAGCCCGTTGCTTCGGTAGATCCAGCGCTGGCCGCGGAGCGGGTCGCCAGGGCCGATGGCAAGAGAGTCGGGCGAAAGGGTGCGAAAGGTGAAGTTCTCCAACACCACCCAACCTCCCTTTTAAAATCTGTATTTATAGTTTTTAATGTTTCTATATATATTTCTGGGTGGGGCGTTCAAAGGCTTTGCCGTCCGATTGTGGAAGGCTTCCTGTGGAGGAAATGAGGACTTCTTTTCGGGGCAACCGCGGAACAAGAACAACAAGTCGGAGAATATCCTGTTTGGGGCTGCACTGATCAGTTCTCTTAAGTCTTCTACTAGTTTGGAGGTAAAAAGAAGTAATTCTGGAGTGGTGTCGCCAACGCGCAAAAGAAGACCCCTGATATTGCAATAAGTAACGAGTCTTCAAGGGGGCGCAGGTCGATGGGTCCAGGCCAATGAACCTGGGAGGGTTACTGGTTCATCCAACTAGTGATGAATTGGATGAACGTCGCATGGAACAAGAATCGAGAGCAGCCTCACTGGACAGAGAAGCCAGTAGAAGCTACCCCCTGCTGGAATCAACTTCCAAGCCCAGCCTGTGTTTTTGTTTGCCCTTAGGGAGGATCAGTAGCTGATAGAAGCTGACTACTCAGTGACCTGTGGGGAAATGATCCAATCGCGAAGCTGGAACCCCACAGAAATCTCCATCCCAGTCGACCATGGGCAAGTCATCACAGGTAGGACCAATCACATCATCTGGCTGGTCCACTAATCCAAAGCTGGGAGCCCCACCCAGTGGACCCATCAACAAAAAACACCGATGGATGGGGATGAATTGTGATGAACCTGATGAAATGGAGGTAAACCAGACTTTGGAACCTCCAGGTGTTGATCCACAAGGGCAGTGACCCATGGCACCACAAGACCCTCCAACCAGCGCCCGGGCGGGGTTGAACAACCCCCCCATGGATATCAGATTCCTCCCAAAAAATCCAACGTCGCTCCGGTTTTGCTGCCGCTGGAGACCTCCTCGGGCGAGAGCATTCCACCAACCAAGCCCCAGGTGCCAGGGTTCTTGGCGCGATCGGCATGCGTGAAGGGAGCGGGAAGCACGGTGCTCCCGCGGTGGTCGAGGACTTTGGGTGGGCCGAAGCAAAAGGAGGAAGAAGAAGAAGACGAAGAAGAAGAAGAAGAATTAAGAAGCAGAAGAAGAGGAAACAACCAAAAATATCCAAAAATAAGAGCTATTTTTCTTAGTGACAGGGCCCCAAATGGTCCCAATCTAGTGGGGTCGCACCTTGCATTCACATTTGAAAGAGTTTCTAGTGGCGTGTGATTCCTCGCCGTTGGGGGTGTTTCCACGGCACCCGGCTCGGTTGCTCCCAACGGCGGCTCCGCTCGAAGCACTCCGCTTCAAAGCCACCGGTCGGGTAAAGGAACGCTGGCCTAAACTCAGAGAAACGCTGGAACACTCCGCTCATGACTACTTGTGGGGGAAGACCTTTGAGGAAGTTTGCTCAACATCTTTCAAGCATCATCCGCATCTACCGAACACCTGCATGGGAGGCATCCTCTCCATCCTCTTGCTGCTAACTCGAACGCTGCTCACCGAGATCCGCCCGCGTGGCCCCTGCGAAGAACCTGGTTTTACACACCAAGCATCGGTGAGATGGGCTGCACGGTGCTGTAGGAGCACCTGGATGCCAGGCGCCACCGAGATGCCATGCAAACCCATTGATGTTTTTCTGAATGAAACCATATGGAACCCCCCCCCCGCGTCGGGTGGAGTCTTAAATCCAAGAGTTCGACCTCGAAAGGGACAACATATGAGGACAGAGTCCTCCCCCGGAGAGTCTTGGTGTCATCTCCACACTCATCGACCTCCTGACTGGGGCTCTGTTTCTTTTCATTTGCTTTGCCGTTCATGAAGAAGAGAAGCCTCCGCCTTGGAGGATGACCATCTGGCACGAGAGGCGAGCTTCGAGGGGCGACCGGTGCGCGCCTCGAAGTCATCCCCAGCGGGGCGCAGCAGCAACAAGAAGGCACCCGGCTTCATTACGCGGCGTCAAGCGTGCCAAGTATGCTGCTGGGACTGCTGCTCCCAGGTCTTTGCGGGATGCTTTCCCAAAAAGAATCAGGTTGGTTGAAGTGGTCAACATCGGTTGACATGATGGCAAATATGGGCTGGCCTCAGCAACCATTTGGTGTCGTTACATATCCCTTCTTCGTAGAGGGTCCCCAGAACTTGGTCTTGAGACGTACCAAGACCCTCTCGAGCCCTCCAGGGCAGAAGTATACCACTGTGAAGGCGCTAGATGTCGCTAGGTGTGGCATGTTCTGCACTCTGACAGGCGGCGCCGGGCTGCCAAAGCCAAAGGTGCTATGCATTGATATGGCGGAATTCGAAACAACCTATGTTATATTACAATTTTTATATTTTCACTTTTGGGTCTGCAACGTGAGTCATTATGAGCAAGCTAGTGGGCATCTGCGGCATCTGCCGGCCTTTTTGGGGCTTGGCATCGCTTGCGGACAAAGGTTGGATTGCGGGAACCACATCAAATCTCTGAGACGACAGATTTGTCAAACGAGATTGGAGGGAGAAACCTCCGCAGAATGATGCACATAAATCAAACCCAGTGCATCCCAGTTACCAAGGAACCAGGGATTCGGTTGGTCCATGGTTTTAGTCTTGGGAACCACTGGTTACCAGCTATAGTGGTAACTGGATGCCCTGGGAAACACAAGTCGTGGAATCCGCGTAATCGGTTGCCGGAGGTAGCACCTTCTTGCCGATTCAAAGTCTCCAGATCTGTGGCCGATTCGAGGAAATGCCTGCTATGTTAGTTAGACTGGAGGAACTGCTTTACAGTCAGCCTCCAAGCACGCCAAGCAAGCGGAAGTTGGGCGTCCGACCGATCCCCAAACCCCGAACGCTCCGAGTGTTCAGCCACATGCGCCTTGTCGAGAACCTCAGAGAACCTCAGCACGGTTGGGACCGATTCAAAGGCCCATGTGCATTGCAAAGGAGGAGGTGTTCATGTTGGGGAATGTTGGAAGGTTGATTCCACCAAGAAGTGCTCTTCAGCACCAATCGATACATTCATGGCATCTACTCTGCTGGCAGGGCCTCTCCAAGGCCTGAAGCTTCTGCATATTATTCTAAATCAGTCCCAGCCCAAAACCATGCACTCCAGGCTCTTCGTCCACATTCACCTGACCTTCTTCAATCTACACTCCGGAAAATTAACATGGAACCTGAAAACCACCCAGTTGTAGAGGAAAATAGTCTTCCAAAGCTGCATTTTCAGGTTCCACAGTAATCTTCCCGGGTGTAATTGACCTCTCGAACAAGCACCACTAAAATAACGGAGGATCCAGACACCACCATGGATCTTTCAACCAGTCATACCGCTTCATGGCGCCTCTCGACGCGTCTCCACCTTTTTGTCCCCCGTCTTTTGGGCGTTCTCTGCTTCTCTTTTGCCGCTCGGCGCAGCAAAGTCCCAAAGGTATCCGCTGTTAGGAGCGAAGTCCCAATCCTTCATCACACTCTCCTGGCCGATCCAACGCGGCTGATACCAAAACTACACGTTTACAAGCTAGTGGGAAAGCAACCCAACGCTACCTGCCAAGGGGATCAAAAGGGTGCTATGGAGTCGCACCTGGATTTATGGTACCATTTATGGCCCCGAGCTCAAGAACCCTACAGTAGGCAAGGGGGAAGCAACGTCTTCAGCACACCAACAACCCCCCCAAGAAAGCGGGCCGGCCAGCCATGAACATTCCCCAAAGCTACTACCAGACTAGCAAATTAGAGGAGTGGACACTTATGTAACCTGGGCCCCCACCAAAAAAACAAAAAACATGCAGCGATCCCCCACACCATGGGGAGGCCTATGCTTTTCAGCTTGGGATCGGAGGGGGGCCAGGGGCATCGAAGGGAAAACGGTCATCTCCGAACGGCGCGATTGGATGAACGAGATCTCTCACCCTGTTGGTCATCACGTTCAAGTCACCCGATCCACCTCTCTGTTGTTTCTTCAGTGTGAGGACCCAGCAAACGTATAGTGGTGTGGTGAAGCACTATCTATAATCTATCATCATATATTTATATCATATCCATATATATGTAATATACATATATATATATTATATATATATCAAGTGTCATTATTATTAACACCAAAAAAGTGGAGATGGATATTTGGCGGCACAAGTCATATGACGGATAGATAAAGCATGATAAAGCAGTCCACTTATAGTCTTACAGTGCTATATATCTCATTACGTTTTCTCTGCGATCTCCATCGAGGCGAAGCGCCTGAGCGGCTCGGGTCACCAGGAGATCCTTCACCGTGGCGGCACGGTAGGGCGTCGCCAGCAGCTGGTGGCCCAGGGCCTGGGCGAAGAGGGGTTTTTCTGGCGTCCCCCAAAAAAACAGTGAGGATGGCCAGGATGGGTTAAAACATGCTTTAAAAACCGCCAGGGATGTGGTTTCAAATGGTTTCAATGGTGTGGCCTATGTTATGCTATATCGGTATATCCGACTAATTAAATCGAGAAAAAAACACGCCACAGGCAACGAGCATCGATGGACCACCTGGAAGATCCCTTGGAAGCGGATGAACCGCAAAAAGATCCCAGTGATGGTCCATGGAGCGGTCCATCTTGATCGGTCTGGATCACTCATGCTGCTGATGGCCTTCAATGATCGAGGAAGTGGAGAAAGCGTGGGGTATACCTCAGGGACTCAGGGGACCTTGCCTTAGGTTGAACGTTTAGGCCTGTGTCTGGGCCAAGTCAAGAACTGATGAAAAATGAGAAAGTTAACAATTCAGGCTTTGAGAATCTGGAAAATGTTACATTTCTGCTTTCAGCACTCTAAATAAAATCACTTTCCTGAGTTCCGGAACATGGAAAAAGTTGATTTTCCTGATGTCGGAATATGGAAAACACACATGTCCAACTTCCGAGAAACATAAAAAAGTTATCTTTTTCAGTTATTGAAAATTGGAAAAACAACTTTTGTGTATTCTCGAAAGTTAAAAAACACATTATTTTTAGATTTCTGCAACGGAAAAAAATACTTTTCTGAGTTCTGGAGATTAAGAAAACATATTTTTCAGGGAATCCAGATCACTGCAAAAAATAGTTATTTTTGAGTAGCAGTAGCAGTGTCTGGAACTCTACTCTACACTTCTGACACCACGTGGCTTTGTCCCTGAACCAAAACTCGGAACGCGCCGACTGGCCGCCCCCCCAACCCAGCCACCTTTTCATGAGACAGTCGGTCCACTCTGTCCAGTCTCCACAAAGCCGAAACAAGGTACAAATGGAAGCGGTCGATTCGATTCCTGAATCTGGCCAACAGGGATCACCCTTTCTTACTCTTGAAAAATTTGGCAATGGACGCTGAAGCTGCAGGCTTTGCCTTGACTTTCTGTCCCAGCACACTGCGTTGCCGTTTTGGCTGAGCATTCGGACTGCGGGACTTGACTGACATTGCCTTTGCAGTTGCCTTTGGCGAAGCTGCAGGCTTTTGCCTGACTGGAATCTCTGCACACTTCAAAGTGTCATATTTGCTTCGGGTATGTCCTGCCGTCAACTGACCAACTCGCACTGGCTTGGTCGATTGGCGTTTCCATCTTGCAAGCTCATGCTGCCCAGCACTGATCCACGTAGGCCTGAACTTCACACCTGACAGTGCTGTGTGACACTACTACTGAGCGCCAACCAACCACACAAAACCCTTCCCCCTGCCGCAGCCCAAAAATTGAATCGAATTCTTTGCGCCTACTTCTCTTCCTCTTTCTCTTCCTCTTTATCTTTCTCTTTCTCTCTCTCTCTCTCCACCAGTCTGTCTACCTCACATGCAGCTGTACGGTCAATTTTTCAATCAACCGAAAAAATGAAGGGGACAAGGTTCTGCTGAGAACCACGGCGAGAATGGCACCAGCAGCTGGTGAGGAAATTGTATTGCCAGCCATGCGATTCAGCTCTATGTCCTGACTCACCCGCAACAACAGGCAGGAAACACAATTCGTCAGAATTAAAGTTCTGGTCCGGTCCATTCTGGTTCTTGTTCGGGTCTGGTCTTGACAAACAAGGCTCCGGAATGGTTTGGTGCTTGCCATGCACCTCTCCACTCAAAGCCAAACTTGGAAACCCGTGTCCAAGGATCATGAGTTCCTCTCCAAGCAGGAGGCCTGGGCACACCACACACTGACACACTCAGAAACACCACAGGCAAAGCAATGGTGGCCTGAGGCAGTGAAAGCAAAAACACACTGAAACAGGGCCCGGACGACTCCGAGCAGTGCTCCAATACAGGTGCCCCTTTAACAGGCAAGGGAGAACGTTGGCATATGATGGATCCTTCCAGAAGGTAAAGGTAATGTTGTTGGTCAAGTCCCAAATGTATTCTGCCGAAGTTGGCTCTTGACCCAGTTGCTCCAGCCTGAGCCGACATTGTTGTCGCCAGTCACTTTTTTTAGTTTTAGCGCGCGCTCTGCTGAACTAGAGCATTTAGGATTTCAGAAGAGTTGCACCCACAAGTGGATGACCAAGCTTGTCTGCTCTCTTGGTGTCAGCACACCAGTCCACAAACTCTGAAATGTGTCCAATAGGAGCTCAGTCGGTGGTACCTTGGAGCTGGCAGTCCAATTTGCAACAACACAGCAACCCGAACTAACAAACTGACGCGCTTCCCAACCCGAACTGGTCGCCCACGCAAAGTAATGCAGGCGGTCCGCCTTTTTCTGAAACTCCTGTTCCAAGTACTCTCGGACGTTTTGAGCACGCTCAAAGCAAGCTTTCCAGCCTTCTCCGGTCCTCAATCTCTCACGGGCTTTCTGTGCACTTTCTTTTTTCCGCCCTCGTCTTGACCGCATATCAGCTAAGAAGGACAAGACCTTGGGGTGGTCATTCGGCAAAAGCAACGAGGATAAGCGCTCCCCTGCAAACAGCTTGTCGGCCATCAAATCCTTTTGAATTGCCTGCCACTGAAGTGACGGGAATGAGAGAACATGACTTCTGACTGCTGGTTTGGCAAATTGGGCGGTGCACAACACTGGCATTACCCGCCTCTATTTTCTCGCTCCAAGTGTCTGGGTCCTCCACCAACTCGATCTTGTCCAGGTTGACCCCGAGCATGAACAATCTTGTCCTTGACTGGGGCAACCCAAAATCACATGAGTTTACCACCCAGCTCCGGGAGACGTAGCCTATATTCTCAAGCTCTGAGCACACAGTCATTGCTGTCCCAATCTTGGCCACATTCTCCAGCAATACAATCGCCTAATCAGTCTTGGTCTAGGCAGGCACAACGGAACAACAAGAAACTTGACTCTTTTGGTGGTTGGATTTTGGCTCGGCGTCGGTCTTGGTCTATGCTGGGTTTCAAGGGGCAGCCCTTGGGGCCTGAACATGAGCCGCGTGGCAGGGCGTGTAGTCTGGACATAGTTCAAGCTTGCCGCAAGGGTTTGAGAGCTTTTTCCAACATCTGGCTCAGCTGCTGCGGGTCTCCTGATTTCTCTCGAACTCCGACCCAGCTCCACCCCAAGCTGGGCTGAGCTGGCTACCTTGAGCTCAAACTAACAACAATCCAATTGAAATCAAGCATCTTCTTCACGTTGCCTTTGCTATTTGGAATGACCAAAGGCTTCCGACTGCGGTTCATATTGGAGAGATCCTGAAGAAAAAGTGGTTTTGCTTGAGCCTGACTCTGGGTGGATTGAGCAAAAGCAAAAGCCACAAATGAAATTGCTGGGGCGACCTGCCTGGCATTCAAACCCACCAGTGTATATAGATACGGCGCAGATCGGCGTGGTGGTCGGGCTTTGTGAAATCCAGTCAACTCCCAGCCCGTTGGAGGCTGCCTAACAAGTTGGCGGTTTGAGACCTAGCACTAGCAGTAGCAACTAGCTACAGTAGCTTACCTAGCCAGGGCCAAGATCATTTGAGGCCACGGCCCTGGGAAGCATGTCTTCCTTGGAAGCACAGTGGCGGTTCGCCGAGGCCCACAATCCGAAAAAGTTCAAAAAAGTCACCCGTCACTCGGAAACACCCTGAACAATACAGCGCAACTGTTTCTTTGTTCAGTCTAAGCCTAAGCGTCATAAAGCACTCTAGGGCGGTGATTCCACAGTAGCATGCACTTTTGGTAGTGTCCGTCCTTTCCTGGTGCTTCACTGCAGAAAGTGTGCGCAAGCAAAGGGGTTTCCCAATGCTGTTCCTGCCAGGAGCCAGTCTACGGCCTACAGTTACAGAGGCGCGCGCAAACAACCCGAACTGTCAAGGAACCCACTCCGTGTCAAAATGGCCCGGCCATAATCCTGTCCACTGTCCACCTATTAAAAAACACGCCCCCCCCCTCCCCCTATTGAAAACTCGAGCGCATTATTTTTAAATAGGGGTCTGGGGGTCCCTGAAATCGGGGCGTGTGTATCCACCATGACGCGCCGCGTTACACCAGCAGGCGTTCCTTCCTCCAATGGTACGGACTCACGCAAATGCACTTGCCACCAAGGTCGTGCAAAACCGCATGGCACAGCGACATCACCTTTCGAAAGCTTGGCTTTGGTTGTCAGTCTAATGAAGAATCAGTATTCAGTATTCTAATAAAGTCTCGGACGTGGTGTTCTTTAATTGGGGAGGCTTACTCAGGACTAGTGACTAGTCAGACACATTGACACACTGTGACAGTGACACGCTAGATCCGACAGTCCTCCATCATAGGCTGGAGGTGCTTGATGACACTCTTAACAGCAATGGCGGGGGCATCCACACCGGAGCAGTCGCTGCCATAAGTGAGCTCACCACCACAGCACTGAGAGATCTCATGAAGTCTCTCGCAAAGCACCAGACCCAAAGTGTTGGCCACAGAACGTACCCAACACTCATTACCTGAGGGAGGCCCCAATGAAAAATCCACTGGCGCCAGTGGCGAATCAACCTGTGCCAATGTTCCTGGCGGTTCAGCCCAAATTTCAGGCTCAATCTCTGCCTCGGAATCGATATCACATTCAAGAGACTCATTTTTCCAGCTCTTCCAGTCCTCATCAAAACCTGCAGAACTTTGTATCGACATACTGAGGACCACATCTGACAGGCTAGGGCCAGATCGTAGGACTCTGCCCCTTGTCACGTCCCAGTGCACTCTATTTTCACAGTCTCGCAGAGCTTTTGACAAGTCATGACACGCGGCCTGGTTGACAATGAGCCCAGTGTTCTGGCTATCACCATGACCATCGCCATCATCCTGCAAAAGCTGGCGGTGTGGTGAAGACTTGAGACACCATTGACTCATGACTCAGACTTGAAAATTGAACAGCCGGGCAGCTGGATTCCAATTTGTGTTTTGGCTTGGGGATTGGCAAACTCGATACGCACACACACACAGACACACACACACCCATGGCCAACGGCCCATGACTCATGACCCCACGCCCCACGCACAGTTCAACAGTTGTACAGTCCTGTGGCTGCACCTGGGTTGGCATTCTGCAACTCTCGTCTGTAGCGCTACTGAGTGCCCGTTGGTCGTGCTGGCTGCTGCTTTCCAACATCTCCAGCTCCCCTTGGGCCTCCAACAAACACAGAGAGAGAGAGAGAGAGAGAGAGCCTATGTACAGGCACAGGAGGCATGCATAGGCACAAGACTCTTCCGCCTTCAGCGCAGGTGACAACGCGTCAAGGGGGTCCACACAATCAGTTGGGCTCTGGCTTTGAAGCGGCTGAAGC